GGGTGTGTTTTAAAGGTTTGTGATTAAGATTTCAAGTTAACTTAAAACATTTAAGCACAAAAAATTATAAAGTTTGCCACTTGAAGAATGATTTTGTTTCTTAATACAGCGAAAACTCCTTGGGGTCTTATTTTACATTAGATTTTTTAATTTGTGTACATTAGCACAGTTAAATTCCACTGAAAACCATAAAGTGTTGCTTATTTTATTTGTATTGTTGTTCTGTTGTTTTTATCCATGCTTTAATAAGTTTATTTTAGATATTTTAGGATAATTTTGTATATTTTATGTAGATGCACCCACCTGCAAAATCCCAGTCAAAGTCAAACTCCCAATCGATTCTTTCCAAAGAGTTACTCAAGTTATCTTGTGAAATTTAATTTACATTGCAATATGAAAAAAATAATAAAATAAAAAAATTAGCAGAAAACAAAATCTTGCAATGTCAGTTTGTGTCCAATATAGTGCAGCCCTGATTCTAATATACTGGGGTAATAATTATAGCTGTATTACACTTTATTATTTAAAGATTTACCCAAGAACGAAAGTATAATGAAACTTCAAAAAAAAAAAATTAATGTATCCAATTCGATGTTATGCAGTAACTCAAACAGGGTAGATGACAAGACCACCAGGCTATGTGACAAAAACCAGGAACAAAACTATGAAAGGTACAAAAAAATGTTCATAGCATATTAAATACAAGTTTCCTCTCAATCCATTCTGACCACAATGTGTGCTTTATATTATTGCCTGTTGAGAGCATGAAACCATTACAATTCAAAAGACATTTAGAAACCAACCCCTAAAACTATGAGGACGAGTCAGATTTTCCAAAAGAAATCAGGGGATGTGAAAACATTACAGCATCCTCCAAACATATGGCAATACTAATGCAATTCAGTGTTTGATATTAAGGACAGTTGTGTTTATTTTAATATTGTGGTGAGCATGTTGGTTTGCCTTACGATATCTTATGTGAAATAAGAGTTGTGAAGCTTCGTTCACGAGGGATGAAAAATAAACAGTGCAATACTGCCACCTAATGGTAATGAACAGATTTTCTGATCATGTAATCTGAAGTCGTTTTCTTGAACAGCAGTAAAAGCACAGTACAAAACTGCATAAACAGATCATTTTTATTGTTAAAATACTGAATACAGTGATTATTTTCTAAAATCAAAAAACAAATCAAAGTTCATTCTGTTTACTGTGTTTAATTTTTTTATATTTTTATTCAAGATTTAGAGCTTTCTTGGTTGTTTTGTTCTGAATCAGGACCAAAGAAAAAATTAAGTTGGATCACGTCCTGTTTCGTTTACACTTTAAAAAGTGATAAATTGAAAAAGCTATTGTTCTTTTTAATGATTAGTTGAGTTACTGGATGACCTTTTATAGTAGCCTTGTCTCATTTCAGAGGCTGCATCTTCAAAGGTTAATCCTTCAAAGTCCAAACAAGCCAAACTTTTTTTAAAGTGACTTTAAAACTTATTTTAAGCAGTCTGAAGGCAAAACAGGGTTTACAAAAATATATTTCCTTTAATCCGTACACGCGCACATAATGTAAACGATCTATAAAATACCGTTTTAGTAAGACAAAAGTGTTTGGATATTCAAGTAAAATAAAAACTAATTCATACATTCAATCTGACTTTTAAATACGTCCAGCCATTATCAGCACGCACTAAATCTTGGGATGTTCGAGGCCACAAAGGATCCACTGGTTTTATCCTTCATAACCTGGGAAATGAAGGACGCATTTTAAGACTGCATTTGAGGGAGCCTTCGAATTTTTTTAAAATGAGATTGCCTTCAATGACGCAGCACCCTTCGAATGCATCCTTCGAAGGATGCAGTCTCTGAAATGAGACACAGCTAGTGTTTCTTCTTTAAATAATGGTTGCCTTAAAATGAAGTAAATTAACAGTGCATAATTATTAAAAGTCAACTAAGCTATTACATGAGTTTACTAACTTTTTCTTAAGTACAATCAACTTAGTCTTACTTAAATAGTCTTACTTAAATAGTCTTTTTAAGTTTACTTATTTTTTTTTAGTTAAACTAATCGTTTAGAAAAAGAAAAATGCTTTTTTATTGTGTATATTTGCTAAAGAGCTAAACAAAAACAATAAAAAGAAAGAAACCCATGTATACTTTGCAACCAAGATCAAAAAAAAAAAAGAAAAACCACAAAAAAAAGAAAAACTATGTTGTACGCTGGTTTAAACATGCTTGTTTGTTGTATGATTGTATTTGTGATGTTATATCTGTCAGCTGAAAACGTGTGAATAGCTTGTATAAGAAAATGGTAAAGAAAAAGTAAAAACAGCAACTGGAAATACACACAAATACACATTTCTGCCACATGTTTTTAAATGGCTAGGACAATAAAAATATCAAAAATGCTTGAGCATACTGCACTTCTTTCTCTCCATATGCTCAAATTTTGTGCATTGTCTTTAGTCTGTGTTCACATTTTATTTGAACCGAACCTGAGCTTGGAAACAGACCAAGAGCAATCATTAACGGCGGTCTCTGGCTGCTTATTTGGTGCACACAAAGGTTCAAATGGCAGTGTTCACATGAAATACAATCACACCAGCGTTACTTTAATTGAACCAAACCTACCAGGTGTAAGCACAGGCTTAATATTTTATGTTTGACCTAAAATGTGTACAGGGTTGGGAAGGCAACTTTTAAAAGGGGACCTATTATGCCCCTTTTTACAAGATGTAAAAAATTGTTCTGTAGTTTCTGTAGTGTGTGTATGTAAAGTTTAAGCTCAAAAGACCACATAAAGTGTCAAATAACTCTTTGAAACTGGCCCTTTATCCAAATTTTGACATTTTAATGACCATCGCTTTATATTCCAATTAGCTTGCACTCTCATTCAAATTTTCAAAAGAGGGTGGAGCTACAAATGCCTGTAACAGCATAGTGGCAAATTCAAAACCAAGACTAAAGCTGCAGTCACATTAGAGTTTGAGCTTGCGATATTTTGTCGTGTGTCGCTGCAAAAAGGGGCGGATTAAACAAGCTTATTAGACATTTAAAAAAAGCAAGCGATTACTCCATGTCTTAAATTTCTGTCCAGAGAGGTCATGTTTTGATCCTCGATTGGTCTCACGCAGTCAAGTGATGCGATTTCGCAGGTCAGAGTTCACCAAGCTTGAATTTAAGACCGCAGCAACCTGCAAAACTTGACGCATGACCCCGCATTTCCTGTCTGACGCATTCACGTGCGTATGACTGGCAGTCCATGAGAGGAAAACCCAGTGTGACCGCAGCTTTACGTCCTATGCTAATGAGAGGTCATCATTAATGGGTGGGGCTTTCCTCCCTCTGATGACATGCTCAAAGGGAGAATGTCAATCAATGCGTTTCTGCTGTTTGTTTTCATGATGTGCGATTATAAAAAGATGAAACAAATACATTTAGAAGCTGGTTATATTCATAAACTGCCACACAACTGTGTTTAAACCCCTTCAGGAAAGAGATTGTTGCATAATAGGTGCACTTTTATGTGTATTTTCCAACAGATAACAAATTACATTTTTTAAAAGGTTATTAGTAAAGTATTTATTTGATTACTCAAAGAAAATGCTCTTAATGCAGGGGCCATTGTCCTACACAGTTTAGCTCCAACTCTAATCAAACACACCTGTTTGTAGATTTCTAGTCATCTTGAAGACACTGATTAGCTTGTTCAGGTGTGTTTGATTAGTGTTGGAGCTAAACTCAGTTCATCCAAAAATGAAAGTTTAGTCATACAACCAATTGAAGAGTAAACAGTGAGTAAATTTAAATTTATGGGTGAAATGTTCCCATTAATACCTCGTGTTTGTTTCACTCACACACAATTTCTTCACTTTTATTAAATGATGAATAGATGTCAAAAAAAATATATACAAAATTTCGCAGTCACTGTTGGAAAGTGTTACAATACACAAATAGGACCTAAAAGGTATTTACTAAGAATATCAGGTTGTTTATTTAGAGCTCAAGAAATCAATTCTGCATTTAAATCTGATCTTTTCAAAAGGAATATTTTTTCTCTTGAATAAAGTCTGAGCTTAGGTTTTAGTTTTTAACAGCAGATGGCCCTGTATGCTTTACAAACAGCTGTACTCTACTTGCATATAATTCCTACAAATACCACTTCAACAAACTAATAATAAAGTAAGGGAAGGTTTAAGTGAATGACAAGAATTGTGTAAAATGAGCTGTGCTTACATGAACATAAAACCAAGCTTGTATAACTGAGCCAAACACAAGGACTTACTCAGGAACTTTTGAGAATAAGGTAAAAACCAGCTTAGAGTGCCATCTGCTGTCAAAAACTGAGCTCCGAATTATTTAGAGAAAGAATAGTGATTTCAGAATCAATTTCTTAAAAGATTTTTCTTCCCAGCTCTAGGTTTAACTGATCAGGACAAACAAGAATCTCAAGAAAAACTATAAGAAATCATAACAAAAATGAATCATCCAGGTGATTACAGAAAGATTTAAGGGTATTGTATTTTGTGTGTATATATTTTTTTTCTTAATTATATACATATACTACAGTGGGTATGGAAATGCACAACCATATCTTGGCATACAGAGCACAAGAATCACCAACTGCTGATTATATTAACTAACAAATACAGAATACATTAATATCTAAATGAAATAAATTATATTACATATATTATATTAAATAAATTATAAAGTAGTTTTAAAAAGTAGTTGTTTTTTCGGATGCAACTCTAATTTGATCACCACCCATTTAAAAAAGTAACATCATAAGAGTTACTCATTTTGTAATTAAAATGCACAATAATTACATGTATTCTGTTCCTTCACAACCCTGCATGAGTTTGACACCACTAGATGGCAGTCAAGAAATAATACACCAACTAGAATCATACTAGGAGACAAAAAATACATCAAAAGAATCATTACATAAACTTTCAGTACACCATCCAGGACTGAAATGCTGCTCAGACTAAAGGACGTACCTCTGGTTAAACATTCCTCTAAAGTTGTAATTGGCTCTGTAGTTGGGAATGGGTTTGGGATCCAGGGGTCTATAGATCGCCGGCTCCCCTCGCTTCATAGCCAAGCCATTTAACTCCACTGTAGGAGTGATGCTTCCTGTAGGAAAGAAAGCCACAGAGCTTAATATCTCTGCATGAAGACTATCTCTGATGCATCTGCTCTGGTATGTTTGGAGCTCTTTTTGTTGGAAAATGCTAAGAAAATGTTTCAGTCGATTAAAAAATAAATCTATAAACTCTATAAAAATGACAAATTCATATAAACAAACAAAACACAACTGTTCTGAAACAATCATACTGTGCAGATTCTGTAAAACTGGATATAAACTGTAAAGCTGCTTTATAACTAAAATTGTAGTTTACATTTTAAACATTGTTTCCTGAATTAGCACAACTTTGTAACACTGACATAGATTTTGCTGTTTATATTGTCTTCCTTTTTTCCTACTTTGTCAACCTTTGCTCTGGCAATTCAACTTGCAGATGCAAGTTTAACCAAGAAAAAAAATAGAAGTTTTGCTTGCAGAGCTGTATGTACAGGGCTTGAACATTTCCAACTAGGACAAGGCGATATGGCCTTTTTAAAACATCCCTGATTTTTTTTTTACAAAATAAAAGATTTATGAAAATCTATTTACTAATTAAATGTTTTTTTCCCCACTAAAATGGTTGATGGTTATTAACCTACTGTATATAATTAGTTTAAGCATATAATAGTTACATAATTAAAGGATATGAAAAGGCTAACGTAACAAACTTGAGTGAATAAATAAATAAACCTTGCTAGCTGTCATTTAAAGATAAAATTTAACAAGACCTTTTACAATTGCATTCAAAACTACTTTCCCTGGACACCTTATTATGCACAACTTAATTGTACCGGGTTAGGCCCCCCTTTTGCCTTTAAAACTGCCTTAATCCTTCATGGCATAGATTCAACAAGGTACTAGAAATATTCCTCAGAGATTTTGGCCCATAGGCATGATGGATCCATGCTTTAATGTTCTTGACGCCAAATTCTGACCCTACCATCCAAATGTCACAGCAGCAATAAAGACTCTTCCGACCAGACAATGTTTTATCCATATTCTATTGTGCAATTTTGGTGAGTCTGTGTGAATTGTAGCCTTAGTTTCCTGTTCTTAGTGAACAGGAGTGGCACCTGGTGTGGTCTTCTGCTGCTGTAGCCGATACACCTCAAGTTTCGACATGTTGTGCATTCAGAGATGCTTTTCTATCAGCTTGAACTAGTTTGGCCATTCTCCTCTGACCTCTAGCATCAACAAGACATTTGCGCTCACTGAACTGCTGGTCACTGGATATTTTCTCTTTTTCGGACCATACACTGTAAAGATTGCTGTGCATTAAAATCCCTGTAGATCAGCAGTTTCTGAAATACTCAGATCAGCCTGTCTGGCTGCAACAACCATGCCACGTTCAAAGTCACTTAAAAATCACCTTTCTTATGCACAATTTGAACTGCAGCAGATCATCTTGACCATGTCTACATGCATTGAGTTGCTGCCATGTGATTAGCTGATTAGAAATTTGCGTTAAAGAGCAGTTTTACAAGTGTACTTAATAAAGTGACCGGTGAGTGTATAGTAATAATAATTTTAGAGTCCTTTAAAAAAGTGAATGGGTTCAAATGCATGTGTCTAAGGGTGAATGTGTGACAGAGCCCTGTATTGTCTTTTTTTTTTTTTTTTGTGGGTGTGCTTGTGTGCCAGTGTTCAATTTCATTTCATAGAGCACAACATTTCTCCAGGTCCTTCCCAGCTTGCTGCCATGTTGTTTGTGTGTTTCTATAACAAATGGGTGGGGAACTAGAGGTGCCCAAAGGAGAACATCCCATGTGTTAAAGTGAAATCTGATTTTTATTCAAACAAATCAATGTAACCTACACACTCGAGTTAATTGAAAAATAAATAAATAAATAAATAAATGGCCCTTCCCTACTTCTAAATGGTTAAAAAGACAGTTCAACTAAAAAATAAACATACTATTTCCTTGACCTTAATTGGTTCCAAACCTTTGTAAGTTTCTTTTTTCTGTTGAACACAAAAGTAGATGTTTTGAAGAATGTTGGAAAGCGACAATCATTGACGTCCATAGCAGAAAATAAGAAACGTGATGGTGGTCAGCAGTAACTGGTCAGATAATGACAGTTTTCAGCTTGGGGTAAACTACCGCTTTCAACAATAATACCATCCCAAATCTGTGCTGATGAACAGTTACAGTATGTTATATTGTGTGCATGACAAATGTTGTTACCTGGGTTGCTGTTGCTGTCAGCTTTAGGAGAGCGTGGAGGAGGCCGGGGGAGGCTGCTCTCTGCCAGGGCCTTGGTAGCTGTGGAGTGCTGGGCCTTTTTAATGCTGCTGCCTTCAGACTCCCATACCTGGTTCCCCAAGCACAGCTGCACCGTGAAGATCTGCACGCACACAAACAGTCCAACATTTTGTAAGTTATTGTGGACTATGTAGGAGTTACACACTACACAAAATGAAAATCAATATTCGATGTCCATGAGGAGTATTAATTTATACTACTAAAAAGCTCCAAATGCTTTTGATAATGTAGTCTGTAAACACTAATCAGTCTCATAAGATTATTCAAATGCTAATATAATTAGCATGTAAACATGTATTATATGATGTAATATTTGAAATACTGTACCATCAGATCAAGTCAATAGATTGTAATTATTAAACAAGATCATCACAGCTTCTTGTTAACAGTACCTTAGCATGTGCAGGTCCTTTCTCATTTAGTAGCTTGTATTGAGGTTGAATCCTGTTGAAACGGGCTAACTCATTTACCAAACACATGGGAGTTTTCTCTTTAGGGTTTGCCATGTTTTCTTGAGGAGGGCCTGTTAGAAGAGGTTTCGATTTAAAAACAAGGTACAAGAGCAAAAATAAAACAAAATATGTATTATTGCATAAAATTGAATCGTCTTTACACAGTAAACATAAAGGTATATTTCAAGTTTTGGGGTAAATTGGATATTTTATTATTGGTACTGTAAAAATAATCTATAGTAAATACATTTAAAATTTAACAAGTAAAGCCATAATAACAACATAAAAAGAAATGCTTCTGTAGCAACAAGACAGTTTGAAATTCAGCTTAGCTATTACAGGAACTCCTATTTAAAAGTATACTAAACATTTTAAATGATAAAATATAAAGTCATCTGTAATAACATTCAACAATTACGGTTTTACTGTATTTGTGACTAAATAAAATCACAAGTGTCAAACTCAGGAGGGCTGCAGCTCTGCATAGTTTAGGTCCAACCCAAATTAAACACACCTGATCAAACTAATGGAGTCCTTCAAGCTTGTTTGAAACCTACAGGTAAGTGTATTAAAGCAGGGTTGGAACTAAACTGCATAGGGCCGGTGCACTCCAGGAACTGAGCTTGAAACCCCTGAAATACATGAAGCCTTGGTGATCATGATGTACAGAATTATTTATTGTATCATTTCAAAACCAACACTATTTTTTATAAAATGGGACCTGCAATGGAAACATATTCCTTTTATTGCAGCCCAAGATTTTTTTATTGACTTCTAGCTAATATTTTTACTCAAGAGAACCTTGAAAAAAATATGTTAAATTATATTTCACTGTATATTAAAATTAACATCCCATCATAAGCAATAAAACCCTACAGGGCTGTACAATATATATTGTAAGGACAAAATAAAAAGTCAAAAGTTCAATTTAATATCATCAGACCAGAGAATTTTGTTTCTTATCGTCTGAGAGTCCTTCAGATGCCTTTTAGAAATTACAGTGGCTTCCGTCTGGCCATTCTACCATACAGGCCAGATTGGTGGATTGCTGCAGAGATGGTTGTCCTTCTGTAAGGTTCTCCTCTCTCCACAAAAGAATGCTGGAGCTCAGACATCGGGTTATTGATCACCCCCATGACTAAGGCCCTTCTACCCCGATCCCTCAGCTTAGATAGCCGGCCAGCTCCAGGTAGAGTCCTGGTGGTTCCAAACATCTTCCACTTACGGATGATGGAGGCCACTGTGCTCATTGGAACTTTCAGAGCAGCAGAAATCCTTCATGCTTGGTTTGTGCTTTGACATGCACTGCCAACCCTGGGACCTTATATAGATAGGTGTATGCCTTTTCAAATCATGTCCAATCAATTGAATTTACCACAGGTGAACTCCAATAAGCTGCTGAAACATCTCAAGAATGATCAGTGGAAACAGAATGTACCTAAACTCAATTTAGAGCGTCATGGCAAAGGCTGTGAATACTTATGTACATGTGATTTTTCAGATTTTTTATTTACTATTAATGTTTTAGTATTTACAACAGTTCTGTTTGGCTCTCGAATCTGATTGGCTGATAGCCGTGCAATACTCTGCAATATCAGAACTCATACAGCCTCTTCATTCTTGTGTATTACTCCGCCCACACGAGTGGCAAGCAGAGGACTACAGTTGGACAAATATTGCCACTGCTGGACAACATAATGTTCTTTTGAGTGTTTTTTTAGAATGTAGTTGTTTTGTAGCAGAACAAAGACAGTTGATGGTGTCCATCCACAAGCGACAGAGACCACATAATAAGCCCTTAGAGGATAAAAATGCAAAACAACAAACTACAGCTAATTAAATAATTATAAATCTGGTAATTGAAATTCTAAGTCGATCTCCCTCTATTGTATGTTGTAGTGCTGTATTTATAATTTGGTAATTGTAGTGCGATGAGTGTGAGATGGGAATCACAGGGATGTGTGTATTTTATGTTGGCCACTCTTTGTATAACCTTGAGTTACTTTTTTGTTGGCCATCTTTATTTCTAATGCTTCTGTTTTTTCTAACTACAGACTAGTTCAGTAAAAGCAAAGAAAGAAGAAATGCCTGCATGTGTTTAGCATTTTTCCTTATCGCAAACACAACAGTAATCTGGTAGTTTTTGTACTGCTTTGACTTTTCGGTGTTAATTATTGTGATATCCCAATTGCAACAGAGAAATACTGGGAGATATCTCTCTAGACCACAGGTGTCAAACTCAGTTCCAAAAGGGCCGCAGCTCTGCACAGTTTAGTTCCAACCCTAATTAAACACACCTGATCAAACTAACTGAGTTTTTCAGGCTTGTTTGAAACCTACAGGTAAGTGTGTTGGAGCAGGGTTGGAACTAAACTGTGCAGGGCTTGACACCCCTGCTCTAGACTGATGGCATTTCATGTCGTTCAGCTTTATAATCTTAAAATGTCAGCAAAATCACCTGTTTTGTCACCACTTTAGACATTATGCTAGAGAATCTTTAAAATACTAGCTCTAAAGTGATGTGTGTGAATTAGTAACAGTTTCTGCTGCTCTGATGTCAGCTGCAGATGCGAATGAATGGTGGAAGAAAGTAGTTCCTCATACAAAAGGATTTTTGAGAATATCCAAGTTTGATTTTCTTTTTTATACACACACGATTTTGTGGTCGAACTCTTGTATAAACGCAATATCACACTTGTAGCAGTGCGATGTGGCTGTATATCGTCACTGGTGGGACACTAACTCACTCGGCCTGCAGCCTCATGTCAACGCACACCTCCCAACAGTGTCAATATACAGCCACATCGCACTGCTACTCGTGTGATATTTCTCATATATCCTTATCAGGATTTGAGATTACTTATATCATGATCTGAGATTTTTGTCATATCGCTGATTCCTTAAACACAACACGGTCAAAAACACATCAGGGTTGACAGCACTAAGTGTCCTGGTACCTGATGGGCTGGCTGGTACAGTGGAGTCCACAAAGCCAGAGGCAGGGCTGGGGCAGGTGGGCGTTATGGCTGGCACTGTGCCATTGATGGTAGGCTGCAGACTCAGAGCTCCTGGGCTGGGCATGGCCACAGCAGGCGCCACAGCGGTCAGGCCAGGTCCAGACAAGGGGGCTGATGTCTGCACTTTCACTTGAGCCATGCTCTATCACTGTTAAAATAACACCATTTAAATGTTAAATGATCAGAACATCAACAGATATGCTGGCTGTAGACTATAAGCTAAATGCTCTTTAGCAGGACAGAGATGTTAAATTATTTCACAATAATATTATACCAAGAATGCTACTTTTAGAACAGACATGAATCAATCTTTTTAAAACTAAATTAACTCAGAGAAAAACTGGTAACACTTTACGATAAGGTTCCATTAGTTAATGTTAGTTTAAGTATTTACTAAAAAGAACAAATCATGAACAATGCATTTATTACAGTCTTCATTAATCTTTGATAATGTTACTTAAAGTTGATGTGAAATATATATTTTTTTTAATTGTTATTTTATTTTTTTATTTTTTTTATATTTTTAGGCTGAAACTGCTGAATAATTATTCTGTGCAGGTTAATCCACTCAAAAATTAGTTCGTTTTGGTAATTTTGTCAGGACATTTGCTTCTACATTTGGAGTGGTGGTCCTGCTATTGATGTAAACCTCTGGACTTCCATAGACTTACAATAATACCCTCTCTTACATTTAGTTTGCTTTGAGAGAATTATTCAATATACTGAAAAAAAAAAAAACTTCCAGTTTGCACAAACTTCTGATTCGTCAATCCAAGGAATATTAACTCAAGATAAAGATCGCTTAAAAAACACAAGCTCATCCAGAAACTTAAAATTACCATGAGTTTCAGTGAATATGTTCAAATCCAAATACTAACATCCACAATCGAATGCATCTGCTTGTCTGTCACACCACATTTATTTAACCGTTTGGTGCGGTCTCGTGATACAAATGTCTTGAATAATACATAGGTTAGTAGTATATGTTTTACATCTGGCTATTATGTCTAAGCAACGTCAAACAAACGATTACAGAGACTAAGTACAAATAATACCAAAGCATTATTTTAATAAATGCAGAAGTGTATTTATTCAACCTCAGCAAAAACACAAGACATGAATCCATTTCTTATCTAATAAAGAAGACAACACTTCCTTTTTTTTTTCTTAAGTTTAATTTTGAAGTATTAAAATAATGAATGATAAAGTCGCGGTCAAAAATTACTGTATTTGACTGTTGTTAAATAAATCCATATGATCATAACATTGATGTGATGATGGGGATAATAATAATAATAATAATAATAATAAACTGAATATAAATAATACTACAGGGCTTTTAATTGGGAAAAATATGATTCATTTATATCTAGGGCTGGGCGATCAATCGAAATCGACACTCAAAACTTTTATACACTCAAATTTTTTTAGGTCAATTTTTTTAATTATTTTACCTATCATGTGTGGAGTCAAGTGACCCTGCTCTGTTGAGGCCAATTTAAACTTCTGCACGGGTGTGATTCGATGCAACTTTTGCATGGTTGTATACCCGCACACCTTTAAAAAATATATATAACTACAAGTCGGAAGTTTTCACTACATTTAAAATAAATGAAAGTTGCACCAGAGATCCCTTGAGATGGCATATTTTCCATTACAATAAACTTGACTGTTTACAGAAGATTCAAGAAATGCACTGCTTAAAATAATATTTACTGGAAATACAAGTTATTTTATTTAAAAAAAGATACTGAAAATTTTCTACTTTTATTATAAAATACACTAAAAATTATTAATTTTGTCTCCAAAACTGCAAGTTTTTTTTATTTTATTTTATTATAAGATAAAAAGTGACTGTTGGTTTTAGGCAATGCGTGTTTTAAATTCACTTGTTCAACATTGATATTCAATAAATAATCATCTATTGTAGATGATGTGTTGTGATGAAGTGTGTTTACTTCAATTATTTTAAAATCAAGTAATCAAATTTCTTTTGGTCTACTAAAGGATGCAGTTAAAAAAAAAGACTTACAATCTTTGAACAAGTCCAAAACAAGCTAAATTAATGAAGAGGAGCAAATAACAAGAACTGGAGCGACATTTGCTAAACAAAGTTATTAAAATTCTAAATAAAACAATAAAACACAAACAAAAAGAAGGGAAAAAAGCTGCCAAAACATTGGTATGGCTTTTTGTTCTCTTTTCTTTATCCATGATATGCAGCTTTGACACAGCTTATGTAGCTAAAAGTGCTTCAAGATTAATAAAAAAAAATTATGCACATATACTGACAACAAGATGAATGCTAAACAAGTTTAGAACTATTGAATTTTAAATGTATACTGTATGAATCACATATTCTTGCCACTTTAGGAGGAGACACATTTACTAAATAAAAAGAAAGAAAAAAAAATACACCCTTTTAAAGTTGCCAGATTTTTTCCATAAATGTTTTATGCATCAACTCACTATACCATCTTCAAACAAACCCAAATTGTGGGAAATAATTACATTTACACTATTTCGTCTGGAAGCAAATCACAGCCAAGCAACTAGAGTGACATTTGACCACTAGAATCCATCCGAGTGCAGAGGATCAGACGACAGCTTTCTTTATAACCTGACTCTCAAAAGTGAGCTCACTCTCTTCTCTTCCCAGTCTATGCTCTCATTGATGACGCTAATGAATTAGGTCTGTTATTATCAAAAAGACACACAATGCAGGGGTAATGTTATAGTCCCTAAAGCAGTAACAATTTAGACTGATATACACTTACCGGTCACTTTATTAGGTACACCTTACTAGCACTTGGGTGGACCCTCTTTTGCTTTCAGAACTGCCTTAATACTTCATGGCATAGATTCAACAAGGTACTAGAAATATTCCTGAGATTAAGGTACAAACTGACATGACAGCATCACGCAGTTGCTGCAGATTTGTCGGCTGCACATCCATGATGCAAATCTCCCGTTCCACCACATCCCAGAGGAGCTCTATTGGATTGAGCTCTGGTGACTGTGGAGGACATTTTAGTACTGTGAACTCATTGTCATGTTCAAGAAACCAGTCTGGGTGACGCAGTAGGTAGTGCTGTTGCCTCACAGTAAGAAGTTTGCTGGTTCGAGCCTCAGCTGGGTTCAAAGTCCACCTGTAGGCTGTGGCGTTGTTGACACAATGCTCAATTGGTACTAATGGGCCCAAAGTGTGCAAGAAAATATCCTCCACACCATTACACAACCACCATCAGCCTGAACTGTTGATAACAGGCAGGATTGATCCATGATTTCATGATGTTGATGCCAAACTCTAACCCTACCAACCGAATGTTGCAGTAGAAAGCAAGACTCATCAGACCAGGCAACGTTTCTCCAATCTTTGGTGAGCCTGTGCATATTTTAGCCTCAGTTTCCTGTAGCTGACAGGTGTGGCACCCGGTTTGGTCTTCTGCTGCTGTAGCATATTTGTATCAAGGTTCGACGTGTTGTGCATTCAAAAATGCTCTTCTACATACATTGGCTGTAACGAGTGGTTATTTGAGTTACTGTTACAATCTATCAGCTCAAACCAGTCTGGCCATTCTCCTCTGACCTCTGGCATCAACAAGGCATTTGCGCCCACAGAACTGCTGCTCACTGGATATTTTCTCTTTTTCGGACCATACACTGTAAAGATTGCTGTGCATTAAAATCCCTGTAGATCAGCAGTTTCTGAAATACTCAGATCAGCCTGTCTGGCTGCAACAACCATGCCACGTTCAAAGTCACTTAAAAATCACCTTTCTTCACCATTCTTATTTACAATTTGAACTGCAGCAGATCTTCTTTACCATGTCTTCATGCTTAAATGCATTGAGTTGCTGCCATGTCATTGGCTAATTACAAATTTGCTTTAACAGGCAGTTGGACAGGTTTAGCTAATAAAGTGGCCGGTGAGTGCATGCACAACACAAAATAACAAAAATTCAAAGCAAAAAAGTAATTAATTAAAAATAATAATAAAAACTAGCCTATAAATGTACATGCAAAACAATCAAGTACTGTATTTAAAAGCAATTTACTTTTCATCCTTAGCTAACAAGCATCTAGAATGATTTGATTTGTACATAATTAACTCAGTTTCTTCACTTAACTGTTAGTCAATCTGCATAATGTGACAAGCATAACAACACAGAATTTGACAGATAAATCCAAAGACTTTTCTATTTGTTTGTTAATACTGGCAAACATTTTTAGAAACATTGAATAAAAATTCCCATATTCATGCCAATTTACTGTAGACTACAGCAAGGAAAACCCATTTACTAACACATCCAAACATGGAATTCACCTTGTTAAAATTGTCAGAATTTTCCATAAATGTCTCAGACATCTTCTCACTACATTTTATATGCCACTGGAGCACAAAAACTTAAGTTTGTATTAAAGTCTGAAGTTACATTAGTCGATTTGAGAAAAATGCATTGTAGGAGCCATAAAATTATTTTATAGAAAAAATCATTAGAAAAATCACTAGAATAGTAAGTAAAGATGATGTTCAATCAAAACCTAATATCTGATTTTAAATATCCATTGGCAAAAAGTTAATTTGTACACTTTAAAGGGCAATTTACGCAATATTTTGATATTTTAACTATCAACATTTAATATTTTCAATAGTATTCATTTAAATGTTATTCTGTTCTAACAAACCATGCATCAATGTCAAGCTTAAGCATCCAGATAATGCTTAAATCTCAATTTCCCCCCCAAAAGACCCCCAAGGTTTGTGGTCCAAGGTCCACATATATACATATACACATACATATATACATGGTTCACACATATTTAAACAAACCGAAATGAAGTGAATAATTACATTATACAGTATAATGATAGAAGCAAATCATAATCAAACTACTAGAGTGACATTTGACCGCTAGGATCCATCCTGGCCATTATTAGTGCAAAGGATCAGACGACAGCTTTTTTTTTTTATAACCTGACTCTCAAAAGTGAGGTCACTCTGCACTCACTGATGGTGTCTGTTATGATTAACAACAAGACACGACGCTGTGGTATGTTGCAATCCCTAAAACAAGAACACAAACTTGGTATCAAAGCAGAATGCGTCTTTTGAGCACATAGCCTTGTTTTCCAGCACAGGCCACCGGTCTGAACTCAGCTGGGAATGTGCAGACATCATGGCTGAACGACAAAATACCCCTCACATCTCATCGATGCAAACAGCCACCGCTGACACCAAACAACCGGACGACAGAGCGCATTTTCGAGAGCAATTCGAAATCAATCTGCCCTTCAAACAACGACGCGTTTAAAAATAATAGTTTACCTTCGTCCAGGGCCAGACCCCAGTTACACCTCCAACATTGGCAAACACTAAAGAGAACTGATGGTACCAGGAGCAAACCAACATATGAACAAGATGTGTTTTTGCAAATATGAGCCACTTGGACGATAGCAGAGCTGTGCTTGGAGAATTGAATGGGTGTTGTGCTGACATTTACCACTGTATTTGTCCGTTTTGTACTTACTTCTTTGAGGAGATCGAAAAGAGTGCACCCCTCCTTCGTCGCAGGGATGGTACAGTCCGGCTTCCTGACACTGAGTAGGGATGAATTCAAGCACTGTACCTTTTAAATACCACACACTACATTTTGGAAAGGTTTAAATGTTTATAGATAGATAGATAGATAGATAGATAGATAGATAGATAGATAGATAGATAGATAGATAGATAGATAGATAGATAGATAGATAGATAGATAGATAGAGAGAGAGAGAGAGAGAGAGAGAGAGAGAGAGAGAGAGAGAGAGAGATAGATAGATAGATAGATAGATAGAGAGAGAGAGAGAGAGAGAGAGAGAGATAGATAGATAGATAGATAGATAGATAGATAGATAGATAGATAGATAGATAGATAGATAGATAGATAGATAGATATTATAATTTTAAATTAATAATTTTATAATTATTGTTTATTATTTAATTTATTAATGAAATAATCTGAATTATTATAATAATCATTAATTAACAAATGTTAAAATAAAACATATATGAAAATGATGCATTGACAACTGATAAGATCAGTTATCATTTAGTACAATTAGCAATAATTATAAAATCAAAGCTTATTAATAAGGGCAAGACCCCACAGGTGAAAACTGTTTTCTCCCCACAGAAGAAAACACTGCAAACAGCCAGATAAATGTATATGTTCCCATTTTTGTAACAAAATACTGTGCATGGCAAAATAAAGGTGAACACATATCTCGGTAAAAACATTTACAATAAAAAATAATAATAAAACCATTAAGTTTTTTGTATATAAGTGCTGCTGGAGTGTAGATTAATGGCTCATTTGAGGAGAAAATAAATTAATTGGTTAAACAGGCAAGCAATTAAAGTAAACAGACACAAATCAATACAGTGATCTAAGGGTTTTTTGTATGTATTTTTTAACAATCTAAAAAATAAACTAAGACAAAAATTAACAGCTTCAGTGCCTTGCCTTAAACACATAAAATATGAAAATTATTTGTGTGTGTGTGTGTGCTTAAAATAAAGCTGAAAGAAAATATATTACATAAAAAAAAAAAGTATCTTATGTTAAATTTAAACATCCTTTAATTTAAGCCTTAATTTAATACTGAAGTACCTCTATTAATAGAATTCTTCCTTCAGGAAATCAATAAAAATCTGGACTAGAAACCATAACAGAGAAAGCAGATTTCTTTAAATCTAATTTAAAGGGTGGTTTATAGTCTAGGAATAGGCTTAATTTCTTTCGGAGAAATACTTGCTAAGTTTCTTATAGTCAGTTAAATGTCTGTTGAAGGAGCAGTATCAACATATATTAAGCAGACAGTCTACTAATACTCAAATGGATCATCAAAACAAAGTGTTACAAACCGTTAAATAAGATTTTTTAAATCTTTATTATCAAGATGCTAACGGTCTAATCCATTCAATGATTTATGCTAAGCTAAGCTAAAAGTGAGTGAGATACAGAGCAGCTGAATGGATTTAAAGAAAAAAGATAAAACTTGACTGTTTAACTCTATGGAAGCTGTAAAATAAGCCTATTGCAAAATTTAAAAAGTGTAGAGTTCCTTTGATATATTATTCAAGTGTAACCATGACTAAGTAATGTGTAAATGATTAAGACACACTCAAAACCTGTATTTTTATTCTTAAAATTAACAGGCACAAGTTACATAATTTGTATACATACCAAAAAACTCAATGAAAGAAAAAAAATCTCTTATTACTTCTTACATCTTGCAAACCAAAATTTAAATAGAACCCTTCATTATAACAAAAAAAAAAGATTTATTATATATATATACCCAAGTCTATACTTAACCTTAAGCGTGTACATTAATTGACTTCCTTTTAAATGATGACGCACAATTCTCTGCCATCAATCACACATTCAAGTTTAGCCGTGGTTTCATTTCCACACATTTTCGTTTAGTAGCAAGAACAATTGATCAAATAAAATATCCTGATAATGTGTGCAGAGGGAAGAGTCATGGCCATCTCCATGTGTTCTACACCAACACATTCACTAGGAGGTCTAAATACACTGTGCCACAGACAATGGGGGAAAAAAAAAAAAAAAAAAAATGACAAGCCAACCAGCTGTGGAATATTCAAGTATTTCTGAAGAGATGGCTAAAAAATACATCTTTGGAGTGTGAGAAGTTCATAAACAGTGTAAAATTTCTCATTTCTGGTCAGAATTTGTTTGTCAAACATATACAATAGTTGGGGACTACTTTGTTTTTTTCTTTCTTTCTTATTTAATCCCAGATAACATAAAAGCCAAACCTCATAATCATTGACCCTAGCAACAAATTTTCAGGAAAACTAAATTATATAATTTAATTTGAAAAAACTGTGTATGTGCTGTGCAATATCATAATTTGCCTATATCTACATGTAGTCCATGCTAATAATTTTTACTTTTAAAGTTACATAAATCGATTTGTTCCATTCGTTTCCTAAACTATGTAACAGTCCTTGAGGAGAAAATATAGTCAAATGGAAAATATTTCAGTTTTTTTTTCATCCTTAAAAAACAAAATAAAAATACCTGAGCCAGACAAGTATGACCAGGATAATCAACACCTTGAGAATATACAAAAATTGCAATGACTTCCAAAAAGGTTACATTTGAGGTTACAAAGAATAAAACAGGAACCTCGAATTAAATAAGATGTACAATCCCAAACATACTGCCATTTTTCAAATCTTATTGGTTACTTTCGATAAAGTAAAAACATGGAAAGAAAAGAAAATTGGAATATTTAAAAGATATTTGAGCAAACTCAATCTCGTAAAAAAGATTTTATACAAATAAGATAGAACACAAGACAGAACTTTCTTGCCAACATTCAATATACTGGTTTACCAAGCACTGCAAATCTACACTGAATACTTCTGTGTCCAGGGCCTAAAACTAAGCAAAAACATTTGAGAAAATCTATCACAATACAATAAATATTTTACTGGCCCAAAAGCAATGCATAATTGAGGTAAATAGAGGCAAAACATGTCATTGCAATTATTATCGTTTGATTTTATATAGATTATTTTATTAGCTTTTAAGTTAAACAACAAAGCTTTTATTTTGGAGGAGATTACTACTATTTTGAAAGGATTCTGTTTTATTGGCAGCCCATTTATGAACTATTTTCAATCTAAACCTGGGAAAATGTTTGCCTTTTCAAATACACAGCAAGCTGCTTCAAAATACTGAAAACTAGTTTTCTGTAAAGTTTTCATAATCATACTGAACCATATTGCTTTCTCAGCCATTATTAATACCATTAGTATCATATACTAAACAACAGCAATTTAGTTTTAGGCCCTGGTTTCATCCGGTAGGAGTTAGTAGAGGTAAATATGAGATTGATTGATGATCAAGGTTGGTTTTAATGCTTAAATGCACCAAATAAAGTCCAAAGAAGACTCAGAGACTAACCTCCATATGCAGTGATATCAGAACTTGAGATGAATGAGAACAAAACGTACCATTTGTATATTAAACTATTTACAGCGATTCATCAGAAATTCAACCTCCTAAACAAACCTTTCTTTTCTTATATCATTTCACAGTGCATATCATTTCAGTAGGAATGAAAGTAAAGCGAAGGAACACTACAATCATTTCAGTATTTGTTTTGGATCGTGACTATTGATTTGGATTTCTCATTATTGGCCCTGAAAATGCACCCAAATTCTTGTTATTGCACAAGACACGTGGAGCTTAAAACAAACTAGAGACAGAAAATGAACAGTGTGGTGTGGTAATCTTACTATCAAAATAAAATAATAATAAAATCCTGGATGAAACAAAATTTCTTCACAACTACCAATGATGGTCCGTTTCCGTTCTGTTTATAATTTATTTCCATTCGTCATCTCTTTTGTTAACCCCCAAACATGCATCCAACTGGCTACCAGTAACACAGCTGACATCGTTTCCCGTGTTTGTGGTCCACAGGAGTCCATGCTTTAGTTTGAGTCCAAGGTTAAGTTCAGAGACCATATGATATTCAAAAAAGTGCTTCTATAGGTCAGTAGGACTTCTTCCCTCTTGGAGTTCAAGAAAGTTCATATTAACAGGTATCATCTGTGAGGGAAAAATAATACATGTATTTAAATACATTTGCAATACATTTACTCTATCAGTTTTAATCTACTGCAAATGTCAACAAAGAGTGTGTTCACTGGTTTGGTTTCATTACAACAAACTCTAGTGTAATTGCTCTTTATATTTTCTTATTTATACATTTACTACCTGAAAAATGTCTTGTCGCATATTCAAGTTTTAGGAACAGCAAATAAAAATTTGACTACTAGTTGATCATTTGATATCCGAAGTAGCTATCCGAAAGACAAAGGCCTCTAGATTACGCTTATTTTACCAAAATAAAACATTATGCTAATTTTTAATTATTTAATTAGGACGGTAAGGTCTGACTTTGCTTAGACAAAAGTCTTGTCACTTACCAGAAATAAATGCACACAGAATATAAAGTCATGGTGCAGTTGAAAAATAATTAATATTGTGTTTGACTCCCATGAGCTTGGACGACTGCATCCATACATTTCTGCAATGACTCAAATAACTAATTAATAAAGTCATCTGGATTGTCAAAGAAAGTGTTCTTGCAGTACTCCCAAAGTTTATCAAGATTCTTTGGATTCATCTTTAATGGCTCCTCCATCTTACCACAGACATGCTTAATAATGTTCATGTCCGGTGACTGGGCTGGCCAATCCTGAAGCACCTCAACCTTTTTTGCTTTCAGGAGCTTTGATGTGGAGGTTGAAGTATGAGAAGGAGCACTATCCTGCTGAAGAATTTCCCCTCTTCTATGGTTTGTAATGTAATGGGCAGCACACAGGCTGTTGATGTTGCCATCCACTCTGCAGATCTCTCGCAAACCCCCATACTGAATGTAACCCCAAATCATGATTTTTGACTAATTTCTGTGGGAATCTTGGGTCCATGTGGGTTCCAATAGGTCTTCTGCAGTAATTGTGATGATTGGGATGCAGCTCAATAAATGATTCATCAGAAAAATCTACCTTCTGATACTTTCCAAATGGTCAACTAGAAGTCAAGTTATTATTTGTTGCTCTTACAACTGAAATCAACGACAAGACAACGACAAGGTAGTGTGCTTTGTAATAATTTCACACCTCATCTGGTGGTTAATCAAACAAGCTACTTAAAGATGAGTCTTGGTCAGTATTCAAAATCTGTAGCCTTTTGACTTAAATAATGCATCATTGACCAAAGAAATCTAAATGAAGCAAAAACATTTGTTGTAAATTTAAACCTTTACGGCAACCTGAACTGTGCACAAGCGGGTTCGACCATAAAATCCCAGTTTGTTTGACTGGTTTGACCACTTTGTACTTTACCTGTACAGCGTTCGCTTACACCCTGCTCACACTGTGCAATTTCAGCCATGATTTGGTCGCCTGAGTCAAATTGTAATTATAAAATATTGCTGAAATTCTAATTTTAAATATCTGTGGTCTTTGATCATTGCTTTGACATGTTCACCAACTGCTGCGTAATGGCCGTCATGATCAGATTTTCCCTCCATTGAAGCTCTAGCAGTGGCAAAAGATTTCAGACACTTTCCTGCAATGTGACTTCAGCTCGTCAAACTAAGAACCAATAGGCAGACCTCTTGGAAGAGGTGGGGCTAAAGGGCAGTTCCTTTGGGCTCAGGTGCAATATACATGTAGAGCGCTAATCAGCTATGTTATAGTCCATTTGTACAAAATGATGCTGACACTTATTTCAGTATGTTGATGTACTTTCAAATTAAGCAGTTGGCAGGCTTTCTTTTGTGCATCATTCTCTCATAGCAAACTAATGGTAAGATGGGCATGGTTAAGGTTATTTATATACAGTTGCTCTGGAAGACAACAGAAGGACTGTCACTCCAAATATGGAAGCAAGCAAAACAAACTTTTTTTTTCGGTTGATTAACTTACACAGATTAATTATTCACTTAAAAATAACAATGGAAGCTAGCAAAATAAAAAAAAAATAATTGTGAGTTTATTTTAAAACATTTTTGCTTGTGGAAAAAATGTGAAAGCCCTGAATATGTAAAGGAGTAAATTGTGAAAGCGTTGTGTCACTGATTGTCAAACAGCTTCAAATAACAAACCAGAATTGGAATAAGGCAATGTACTTCACTTTGCTGAGCAAAAAGGCTTCTTTTGGATCAAAATTGCATAAGTGTGTTTGGCTCATAACAGAAGTGTAAAGTGAGGCGCTGTGGACACTAGAGCTATGTTCCTCAACCACGTTTCTGGATGACCACCTGCACTGCATGTTTTGGATGTCTCCTTTGTCTGTCACACCCATTTCAGGGGCCTCATGTATCAACGCTGCATATGCACAAAAACTTTGTGTACGCCAGGTTTCACGCTCAGAATCGCTCACGTTTGGATTTACTAACGATGAACTGAACGTGAGAATGTGCGCAGCTCCACGGCAGCTTTATGGCTGGCGTACGCACATTTTTTTTGAGTGTCTGTTTTATTTCCATTGGCGACTCCTAGAGGCAGTTGTGTTAAATTCCTCTCTACAAGTGTCTTTGAGCTGTGCAATGGCAGCTGTATGAGACGGGTTCATCTAGCAGGTATATAAGGTTTCCATACCATACAGTTGACCAGCTAAACATTAAAGCACAATTTGCAGCGATCGCCTGTTTTCCCAATGTAATCTGAGCTATCTACTGCAAGCACATTGCTATAAAGACACTATCTAAAGATGAATTTGCATGCGTGAAACATTTCCATTTAATAAATGTGCAAATAAAATATGATGCACAGACTTATTAATGATTCCTACTTGTCTTTCTCGTGATAAATAGTTGGCAAAATCTGATATGTAGCGGGGAAAAAAAGACGAATGAGTTCATCAGACGCTGGATTCGAACCGAGTTCATAGTTAAACGTGTCAAAACATGATGACATGCGTCTTACGAGCTGCGCCACTGAGACTATTATGGGAAGTGCAACATTTTACACATATAAACCACACTATTTTTTTTTTATTCATTCAGTGCGATGTTCAGACCCAACTGTGTTAACCGCATCAGCTAAACTCTCCCCACTCTATTTTTTTCTTATGTTATTAATTCCGGAGGACAAACTTGCAAATAACACCGTTTTTCTCCGGTCTACCTCCGAAAGCAGCACCTTCAATTCACATTCTGTTCAAAGTTTCTCTTCTTGCTGGCTTTTGCTTTTGCGTTTTCGTTGGGTTTTGTCAAAGTATAGTCATTTGCATATTCATACAGGGGAGGAGGCAGGGAGGGGTTTTGTGCTCGTGCATGTTGCGCTCATTTTCACGTTCATTCGGATGTACAAAAGAATATGCATGGGATTCGGCGTACGCAGTGTTTCATTCATCTGAATTTTTTTCTGCGTACGCACATTTACAGCTTTGTGCGTACGCAATGTTTTAGTATGATTTCCACGCAAGTCTTCGTACATGAGGCCCCAGGTCTTTCAGTCTCTGCTAATGAACTGATGATCTGAATCAGGTGTGTTTGGTTAAGGAGACAGAAAATGTGCAGAGTTGGTGGTCCTCCAGGTACATGATTGAGAGACACTGCACTAAAGCATATTGGTTTTAAAATAGTTTTCATATTGGTTTTCTTGTGGTTATGCCTGCCACCCACAATACGCCAACATCTCTCACCTGAAAAAGGACCATTTGTATAATGCTTTAGACCACATTTTAGTTTGGACTCTGATTGGTCTTCTGGATTATTGCACAATGTTCCTTGCTTCGTCTGTATTTTCATTCTAAAACCAAGTTTTAAAACTAAAATGCACTAGGGTAAATGCAGTCTGAGACAGCAATTCATAATGGTCCCCGCTAGCCTGCACTCAGTTTAAGGCAAGTGTGACTCGTGCGAGTACAACTTTAAACAAACCACACCTAAATGACAGATCCCTCAAGTATGTTTTTTTTCCCATGTAAAAGTTTCAATGCTGCTCTTAATAGTTTAATACAATTCACAACGGATAAAAAAAATACATGCACACAAAAAGCACAAAGCAAACAGCATTGTTTAGATGTTCAGTAAGCCCCATCTCAAAATATGACAATTTATTTTAGTTTTTTTAAGTTAAATGTCAACAATGATTATTATGCAAACCAGGACCAAATTATATTTACCAACAGAACCAAAGTGTTGTAAAAACACACACAAAAAAAACCTAATTCTTACCATGATACCACCATTTTGTCTTCTTTGGATTTTTATTACATGTTCGTACATAAAATGAATTATCAGGAGGCCGTCTCTGTAAAGGACAAAATACATAAATACAGTAATACAGTAGCAGTATCAACTATTTATATATTAAAAATTCTAATGATTATTTTTTAACATTGTCCATCAAGCAATACTGAAAAAATACATCACAATTTCTATACAATTTTAAGCAGCACAACTGTTTTCATTGTTGATATCAGAGTTGGGTGTAAAGCTTTCCACAGTAATGCGGTACTGTATTCTAATTACATTTTTTGTGAATGTAGTAATATAAAGAATTACATTTTAAACTTGTGTAATTTGACTACAGTTAACAAAGTCAGTGTAATTGCATTACTTGCATCGCAAATATAGATTTTAGAAAAAAAAAAAAAATCATGATTTTTACTGCAACAACAGTTAATGAGCATTCCCTTTTAAATTGCTGGAGAACACGAGCTGAAATGCAGTCTACGTCCAGTCTTTAAAGTACTTTTGACTGCTTTTAACTCGACCAGCAAGCACTTGTTCAAGCACTTAAACAAAAAGCATTCTAGGACAATACTTGTTACTTTACTCAATACCCGCAACCCGTTCACTTATTCCAGATTTCACATAATAAACATTTGAGCATTTAAAGTTTGTCTCCATAACCGCAGACATAGTATGTGTTTTTCCTACTACGGATGTCAATGGTTGCAGGTATCCAGATTTCTTCAAAATTTCTTTTTTTGTATTCAAAAGATAAAAAAAAAAAAGTTTGAAACAAGATTAGGTAAATGATGAGAGAATTTTTATATTTTGTATATGTTTTATATGTTTCAAAAGTAATTTCAAAGTAAAGTAATTAGTAATCTGTTTATTTTTTACATGAAGTAATTAGTAATGTTATCAAATTACAATTTTCCTGTAGGAGTCAAATTGTATTCTATTACTTTTTTAAAGCAACTTACCCAACACTGTTAATAACAAGAAACCTGGTTTATTCACCAAATAAGCACATTAGAAGAATGTAAGACAATGAAGACTGGAGTGATCATGCTAAACAAGAAGATAAATTTGTATTATTTGACTATATACATATATAGAATATTTACATTTGTAAAAAATTAACAAGCACTGCAAAGTTTTAAAAAGTACATTCCAACTAATTAACTAATAATGACTATTATAACCATGAAAGATTATGGTAAATAAAATTTCAGATGTTGGTCTCCAAGTTTGTACAGACTGTGACTTATGTAAAGTCAGCGTTAAGACACATTTAAGCAAGAACTATAATAAGTAAACCATAGATAAAGAAAGGCTTCAGATTTTGCTGTGAAACATTGTTAATGTCTTACTATTGTCATTAATGAACAAACATATGTGTCCCATATTAGAAACTACATTTTCCATTTTTTCACGTTAATGCATTCAGAAAATTAATCTACACTTTTATCAAACATACAATAATCAAGTTTTGAAAAATCCATTAGATAGCAAACATCCTCAACAAAACACTCACCTTCTCTTTGCAGCTGGACAGCATGCTAATAATGCTAAGACAAACAGACTGGACTGAAAGGGCTGGTGACCAGTCCTCCGTTAAGATGGACAGGCAGATGTGGCCATTGCTATAAACGTGGGGATGGACAGGTATATTGTCTCCTGTGAACATTACCTGCCAAAACCCAACAGAAACACAGAATCTCGGTTAAACAATAAGGTATACTATAAATGAGTTTAAAAATGATAACAATGGTCAAGCAATTCAATGAATTCCTAATGAGCATATAACCAAAAAAAAAAGTTATTAATTTGCGTTTAAATGCATAAATGTCACCTGTGAATCATAATAAATATACACAAATGCTACTTTGTTATTATTGTAGAGTAAACATTCCTTTTGTTAAAACTGATTCAATCTGATCAGCAACTTGTTCTTCTTGGCTGTGTCGTATTATTCAAATTTAATTAAAAATTGTTTTAGGACAATGTTATATTTACATATGAATCTAAGACACATACAAATGTTATATTTACATATCATTCTGAGACACATAAAAATGTTATATTTACATATCATTCTGAGACACATACAAATGGACGTAAATGGACAATGGCCCTTTTCCTTAAAATATACAGATTAAAATGTATTTAAGGAGTTAATGGATTTTAATGCAGTTAAATATCATCAGAAGGAGCTCTTAATCATTTAAGTTAGTTCAAATGTATTTATTTAATCTAAGCGCATATAAAAAAACTGTTAAACTGTTTGTCATTTTTCTAAATATTTGTATAACATATGTAATTTATTAAAAATGGCTTAGAGACAGAATACCTAAAAATATAGACAACAGACATTCAAATAGAAAAGTAGACAGATGGAAAAACATGTGGATGGATAGATAGAGACAGACATGCATAGACTGATACATACATAGAGAAACACACAGAAATGAACAGAGACAGAGAGAGCCAAGGGGACAGATTAGTTGGATAAATATGGATGGATGGATGGATGAATGGATGGACGGACGGACGGACAAGTACACTGATAGATGAATAGAGAGACAGATTGACAGACAGGTAGACATACAGACAGAGCAATAGATCAGATAGACAGAGAGACACTGACACTTACATAGACAGACAGACACATACGAAAATAGATAGGCACACTGTAATCAGGTTTCAGCAAGAATTTTTAAATGATACAAAGTTTTACTTAATATTTTAGTCAGCTTAAACCAAGTTGAAATGACAACAAAAATTCATTTGACTCAACTAAAAAATAGAAAATTCACAGTGAAGACAGCCAAATAGACATTCTGATACATACATAAATAGACAAACAGATATGAAGATAGACAGACAGACAGACAGACAGAGAGACAGACAAAAAGAAAGAGTCAGACAAGTAGACAGACAGGCTGAAATGTAGACAGATGGACGAACGGCAAACGGACAGTCGGATAGACGAATGGATAGAGACAGATAGATATACAAATAGACAGAAAAGACAGACAGTGTGTATGTTTTACCCAACGAAAACATGCAGATTATATTGATTTGTCCATGCAAGTTTGTTCTCAGGGGTCTAAAAAAAAAATTGGGTCCAGAATTTTGGTCTTTGTTCTGTAGTCAGATCTAAAGGCCGGCTCACACGATGCAAATTTTTATAATCCTGAATGATTGTAGCATGTTAGACTACATGAACATGACTCCCATGTCACACTGTAAGATCTCAGCCATCATATTGTCAAACTGAACGACAATAAAGATGCACCAAACATGGAAGAAACCTTCTCCGGAGTTTGACGTCATCCACCTGTGACACTTTCAATATCCCGCGTTCTGAAATGATTACTTGCAGCAAACATAAAAAATTCAGAGTGCTATGTGTGTGCATGTTGGTTTGTGTTCGCTCTCTGCTGTTCATAATGTATGCTTTGTTCTGTGTTTCTGAATAATTACATAGATGTAAATTAGGTCACGGTTAAAAAGTTTATCCTTCCTTTTTGGGGAAAAGGGAATAGTTTACTAAGTCGCGCGACATTCATTTTGCCCGTAGGTAACTCCAATGTTCAGAAACACTAGGTAAGTGGGTGAGCGCCGCATTTTGTATTTTTGCTTATTATTTCAGGGACTTTAGGTGTGGCGTCGCAAACGCTAAAGATTTCGGTTTCTTTTTCACATTTTGATTTTTATTAGTAAGTTTAGAGGGGGATTTTGTGTTTTAGTTTAGGTGGCTTTTGGTTTTGTTTAGTTCTTTGCTTTGGCCCCACTCTAGTTCCTTTTCCCCCTAAAACTTTTGATTGTATTTCTTTTTTTCTTTTTATTATTATTATTATTATACATGCATTGTACAAAGCGCACACATGTAAGCCTCTCTTTTGTTGGCTTCATTTTTCTTCTCCTCGTAAGAGAAATAAACAAATTGAATGTAAATTGTGTCCTGGTGTATTTTCCATCCATCTACTCAGTAATAATTTAATATTATAAGTGTTACGTTTATTTTCCCTAGACAACTTAATTAAACCGTAACACATTCATTTGAATTGTTGCATGGATTGCGTCATCAGATTCTGCGCTCCTATTGGTTATTGGATTGATGCTCATCGCAGATGTTGTCACACTGCAGGAAAGTGTCTGTAATCTTCTGACACTGCCAGAACTTCATCGGAGGGAAAATCTGATGGCAAAGGGCTTTAAGCAACTGTCTGTGAACATGTCGATCAACAATCAAAGACCACAGATTTTAGCCTAGGATTTCAGGAATCTTTTAGGATTTCCCAAATTTGTCTCAGATGACAAAATCGTCGCTGAAATCTCACAGTGTGAGCAAGGCTTTAGTTTCAGGACTGAAAACACAGCTGTTTAGCTATACCTTTACTAAATGAGCAACATTAATTTCTTTTTCGTTCTTTTAAAATCTGTTTATTCTGGTTTTATTTGTTTTTAATCATTCTTATACTTCTATATATTTTATTTATATTTATGCAAAGCACTTTGAATTACTATAGTGTATAAAATGTGCTTTATAAATAAACTTGTCTTGCCTCAGGGTAATAATGAGACAAAACCCATTTCACATTTAAATGCATTTCGTCACTAATGAAAACTGCACATACGGAGAAGTGATTTTACTCAATTTCGAAACAAATTATAATATTTCTCTCAGCATTGCATGCTGAAACTGTAATATGACTCATATTAACAGCAGCGGATGTTTAATTAATGCATTACAATTCCTCTAAACTCATTCGATTTCAGTCTACCGTATTTAGCTGAATAAAATGAAAACAATTCAGTTGACTCAAATATGACTAAAACTCTAAATTTGCTGTCAAAATTCAAACTGGGTCTCTTTGTTTATTTTAGAACCTCACAGTTCCAATCCCCATCCACTTTAATTGAATGAAAAAGAGTAGCGTGAACATTATTTTAAAACGCCTCCTTTTGTGTTCCACAGAATAAATACAGTAATATGGATTTGGAGCAGCACGTGGGATGAGTAAATGATGACAGAAATGTATTTCGGAGGTGCACTATCCCTTTAAATCATAAGCCAGTACTTAGGCCACACAATTGGCATGAGGCCGCTAGATTAGAAGCTGGACACAAAAACAGACGTCTGAATGAGAAGCTGGCGCCACACGTGGATGATCATGACCAAGAGCATAACAAAATACAGACATGGTCTCACTTATGATTAAATGCACTTAATACACAAAAACAAGACCACTATAGCAACAAAAAAAGTTGTTTGGCCCCTTTAATCTTAAGAGCTGCCCTATTTAATCTGAATTAAGTCCTCTGACTAAGAATACACACACTTTTTACACTTCGTATCAGCTGATGATGAAGTTTTTAAATGTGCCTGTCTGTCATCACAATTATAAAGTCATGCTGTTCTTATCTCTAAAAGCTTTGGTTGTGTGTGAGAATGTTATCTAATTTTGTCAATTTTGCTATATTTATAGCGGGTCTGATATGTAAAATAAGACCTGATGTAACCGCCTCAAATGTGGAACTTAAATTTGCTGTCTATGAATTTAAAATGAATATTTTGCTTTTGTTGTTGTACTATTAATATTCAGTTGAAAAAGGAACTTGATAAAATAAATTCGTCACATAATTAAAATTAACACAATCTAATAGAACATACTTCATAGGTAAAGTTCTTTTACAAATACAACCTGTGGAAGGATCTTTTCCAAGAATCAAAAACTTGTGTCATCCTGGAGAGACCATTTCTGCAACGGGTAAAAACAATCTGATGCCACCGGTTAAAATAAGAAGTTTCTTTTACCGACATTAGGGCTAATTTCATAAAGGTTTGTTATTTGTAAGTATTTTTTGTAGTATTCTCTTTGGCATTTTTTATTCAAGTATAAATAAATCATTGGTTTTAGAACCAAAAGGATGTACTGGACACATTTTGGTCTTTGTTGCATTTCCTAGCAATATGGCATGAGCTAAAAAGCTTCTATTATGGGTTTATGAAAATTACTCTCCATGCAGTGTGCAACACAGCTCTAAGTGAATTTAAACATTCAGCTGAGGTTTAAATCTGAAAGTGTACCTTTTTTAAAAATATAGACTTTTTTAAAATAAAAGATTTGACTCAGAGTCATTTAAATGATTTGTCATTCGTCCGGATCTTTTGCCTGTTTGTATTGACGTCGACACAAAACATATCAAATATGAACTGCCGGTAAAAAAAGTGAACACACTTTTTACTTCAGACACTAGCGGAGTGCGAGGAATTATGGGATTAATTATGATGCAAAGATTATCATCACTGAAAGATGGCCAGAGATGCAGCTGGGGGGTATACAAGGGTTAAGTTCATTTTTAAAACAGCACCACAGTATAGCAACCATGTGCTTGTGTTTGTTCCTGTCATTTTAGGATGACTGATACAATAATCTAAGCTGCTCCATTTGGTATTAAAGGAATGATCAACAAAGGTTACTAATGTATGGGACTTTGTCAGTAACTGTTACAGTTTGTATGGACCAGCTTCTTCTTCTCAAGATCCTGTAAGTGTTTCTACTTCCAACACAACGAGACGTGGAATTAAAATGGTTGCCTTTTTTTCTGTAGTTTGCAAAATATGCTTTTAAAAGTGTTGCAACTTGTAATCAGTCCGCACAGCTTGTAAACACATATCTATGATAGATCAGTGCTTGTAATGCATCTCTCAAGCTAAATCTGTATGGGCTAGTTCACATATCACGTCGAAAATCACATTAAAAACGTGATCCGTGACCTTCTTCCTTTACTAATTTAAATGCTTTTTCTGCTCGCGATCTCCTGCTGTTTGTTGCTATGGCCACCACCAGCTGTTCCTCACACGTGCGATGCGATAAGTTTTCGAAAAAGCTAAACTTTTGCTACTGTGTGAATTGATACACAATGTGTGTTGTTGTTATTGAGGTTATGATTAAGAATAGAGGAATATTCTGGTGTTTAACTGCATTGCTTTATTGCATTCCTGCATTGGGCTCACACATATACTCTGTGCTCTAAATACTTCTTGGACGTTTCTCTATGTCTCTTGCTGAATGCAGTCAACCAATCACAACAAACTGGGTTATCGGACCAATCAGCACAGATTAGGTTCACGCAAAAGAGAGGTTTGGGAACAAATAAATCGCTAAACAAATTTAATGGGAGTCGTTGGGATAATTAGGGTCACGAAACACCAAAACACATTTTTTGAGCCGTTGACAGTCATAAATGTGTCCCACACTGCTTAAAACACTATTACAACACATATTCCACTGAAAATTTTAAATTGTTTGTTATTGCTTTATTTCGAGCAAATTCGTCCTTCCGGTATGGAACGAATTTTTGAAACTGCGTCACACAGATTAGATACTTGAGTGTATTCAAGCGTGTAGCCTGGATGTCTGTACCTGGGAGTACTTTTTGCCATCTCTGAGTGTGCAGCAATAATTCATGAGAAAGACTTGATTCACACCAATCAGAGCGCTCTATTGTGTATGCAGTGCAACTTCATTAATATGCATGATAGCTTCAAAGACTGTTATACCTTTACAGTGTTCAGACAGCAGAGAGCCACATTGTGGACACCACATTGCGTTACCGAAACAAGTGGGAGAAGAACTGTTTGGAGCTACAATTACTAAGTTACTAAAATTTACAGTACGTTAATAGCACTACAATATTGTAGAATGAAAGATCCGCTGTAAATGCTGCTTCGAGTGTAAACATGTAAACACCGCAATCAAACTATTACGGTTGTGTAGGATTTTCACCACAATTTGTGACAGGAATAACACGCATGGCTTTCTGACGCTACCTACAGAGTGCATCTCAGTTACAGAGAAATGGAGAGGGTTTTTATTTCATTTGCCATGCGGTAATAAACATTGCATTAAAAATACACACTTCCAGCAGTTCCTCGAATCAAATATCTTGTTTGTCACGAGGGGCATGAATGAAATGTTCCTGAATGAAAGTGCCAACTTCAGGTAAAGTCCACCATTTAATTTGGCAAATAGTTTGATTACTGATGTCCATGTAAACACAGTCACTGTCTTGCTGCCCTGCATCTGTGTGTTTGTTTTGCCTCTGTGAAAATCAGCATGTGCCCATACCGAAACTCCTATTTTTGCACATTCCCTCTTTCCCTCCTCCGACACTTCCCCCTAAACAGAGCTGGACACACCCCCTTTTCATGACTTTTTCCAAACTAGAGGAGTGAAAACACCCTGCTGAAAGAAGGGGGTTTCGTGGCCCTTTAAATAATTGCATATTCTAAGGCAATAAAAAATGTTTTTGACCTCGCATGCATATTGTTGCATGTATATTGTTGGAGACCCCCATAACTAAAATATTACGTTTTATAATGCATAATAGGGACTCTTTAATAGTCCAGAAAATCAAGGACCCCCTCCATCACGTGGGCCCTTCCTTCCATTTAGCACTGGCCCTGGTTATCTAAATGATCCATCATAGATTCTTCAAGCTAAACTTATTACACTTACACTCATTGGCTGTTGTCACATTCATTTCTGCTTTGGAAAAGGCTTGATCCACAAAGTTAAAAACGTCCTAAGCTTTTCATCATCAGCCTAAATTTCATTCATGATTTCAATATTGACATCATTTAGAAATCATTTTTTGTTTTAGTTAACTGGAAGATCACTGCGAGCAACCACACAAATTACTGGCTATTAATAGATCCATGACAGGTAAAAGAAGTCAGAAACAGTATTACCTTTATCTAAAACTTTCAAAATGCATTAAATTAAAAGGATTCATGCTAATTTAGTTTGTGTTAGCATTAAATTAAGTTAATTAAACTGAATATGCATAGCTAGTGTTTTTTAGCCAATGATAAACTTCCCGTGAAAGCTTAATGTGACAATTTTCAATTTCACAAGGTTACATTTACAACAACGATGCTGGTATGTACATTCCATAAATTACATTTATATTCAGTTAAATTGAATAAAGCATTCATTTAGTTGTTTGTAAAACAAGATGAAAGACTAGCTAATGCTGTCTGGAGCAGCAGGCTAGCACAGAAACTCCATTAAAATACTAGAGTAAAACAAACTGTCATATTTTAAAGACATTAAATTTAATGCAGTGCTTCTTGTCTGGTCTGAGACCAACTTCATATAATATATGTATCAGGCAGTGAAGACTGATTTTTAAAGAAATCAGATCTTAAATGTGTCGATTTTGTAATGAAAAGACCTGAAAAAGTAAAAAAAAAAAAAAAAGTCCTGGAGCTGGCAGGCTGAAAATTAAAAGTCTGTGTATATACCATCTTAAAAAAAAAAATCTTAAAACATTGATTTGGAGTCGTTCACAACTGCTCAAATCTAGTATAAATCCAATCTAGATGATAAGAGTCTAGCCCAATAAAACTGACGCTGCATATGCTGAATATTTCTAACAACATTTTTTTCGCACTTGTGCAGTTAGTTAAACAAAGATGACTGCTAGATGTATACAATGAGTCTAATAAATAATGTTTAAACTTACCTGAGGTGAGTCAAAGGGATAACGACTACTAAATTTAAAAAGAAGCTGGAATTTTTCCCCTTCATAAACAGTACCAGAGGCTCCTTCCATGTCCACTATCCATCTGTAACATAAGACAGAAAGACATTCATGAACATTGACTGACTATGGCCACCATCACACTACATCAACGTAGTACACATGAAAAAGCTTGGTGTTTTTGAAAAGGTTTGCCTGCAGATGGCAAAGTTGTCCTGGTCTCATACTGTACATTCACAATAAGCACTGGAAATGCTATAGTTTGCAGTATATAGTGCTATAGTTAGGCCAGTAGATGGTGATGTCACTTAATATCTTGAACAGCTCAAAAACGATCCTGTAGCCTGCTATTGTTGTTTTGGTAAAGGGAAAGTTCACCTAAAAATCTAAATTCACCAAAAACCTCAAGTGATTCCAAACCAGTTGGAGATACTTTTGTTAGTTAAACTAAACAAAAAAAATGTTTGTAGTATACATTGTATAATGTATAGTTGTATAATTTGTAGTATACATTATATAATGCAGCAATCTTTTTAACATTATAAATACAATTGTAATGTAAAAAATATTGCAAATAAAAGCTTTTTCTTTAATCAAAGAATCCTAAGAGTAAAATGTATTAAAGTTTCCATGATCCTACCAACAGTATTTACTGTTTTTCATCAAATGCAGCCTTGGTGAAAAGAAATTTCCTCTTTAAAAACATTAACATATCTTACTGTTTTCTAAGAAGATATTTTGAGGAATGTATTAACCACCGACTTTGATAGTAGGAAAAACAAATACTATAGAAGTTAAAGGTTACTGGTTTACAACATGTCAAAATATCTAACTTTGTGTTCAACAGAAATAAGAAGAAACTCAAACAGCCTTGTGAGAAGCGAAGGGTGTGTAAATGACAGTTTTCAATTTCAGGTGAATTATCCCTTTAAATGTTATCAAAAAAAAAAACACTTCTTCCTGACAGGAAATCACCAATCAATTCATAGCCATTTTGGTTACCGCAAACCAATGGAGAGCATTTTGGGAAGCTGTAATTCCTAGTAACCTAACAGTACTCAGGTGAGTGAGAACGAACAGAGAACTAAAGGGTGCAGGGATTTTCCTGACTCAGCAGAAACACTCAAACGTGTCATTATGTGCTCATGTGTGTCCTTCACTAATTCCAAAGCCTTTTGCACTGAGATTACTGGCATACAATGCCTGATATCACTGGAGGAAACATCTGGCACAGAGAGCAACACAAAGTTTTGGTGAACGAAAATGCACAAAATATATGGGGCGGGCAAATATAATTTGTCTCGGAGTCAAGTTTGCCTAAAATGAAACCGAATTTGAGCAATTCCATTGTTATGGGCGTGACATTTGAGATAGAAACTCAAAGCATAAATTCACATGGAAATTATATCTTAACATTATATTGAGACCTAAAAAGACTGTATTGGTTTGTAATGCAGCACCAACTGTTATGTGGTGGTCACTCCCGGAAGTCGGTCAGGACACAGGAACCGGACCAGTAACTGGATCTCTGTATAATAAACATCTTCAGCAAACTGTGTCTCAACAACAAATAACAATTTATTAATATCATCTTTTCAGAATTTTATATCCTTACATAATCACCTTAACAACCAAAGTAACAAAAATGATGAACTATTAAAATGAACAAATAACTACTACTCACGTAGGTGCAGTAACGTACAGAAACGTGACAGAATATAACAAGTCCTATTTTTCCAATCTACTATTGTTCAATTTTTATGAGCCTGTGCAATTTGTAGCCTCAGTTTGCTGTTCTTAGCTGACAGGAGTGGCACCCCGTGTGCCCAACCGCCTCAAGGTTGGAAGTGTTGTTTGTTCAGAAATGCTCTTCTCCATACCTTGGTTGTAACGAGTGGTTATGGAGTTACTGTTACCATCTATCTGCTCAAACCAGTCTGGCCATTCTCCTCTGACCTTAGGCATCAACAAGGTATTTGTGCCCACAAAATTGCCGCTCACTGGATATCTTCTCTTTTCGGACCTTTCCCTGTAAATGTTTCCCAGTTTCTAAATACTTTGGGCAGCCCATTTGGCACCAACAATCATGCCATCATGCCAATCAAAGTCACTTAAATCACCTTTCTTCCCCTTTCTGATGCTCAGTTTGAACTGCAGCTGATTGCCTTGATAATGTCTACATGCCTAAATGCATTGAGTTGCTGCCATGTGATTGGCTGATTAGAAATTTGCGTTAACGAGCAGTTAGACAGGTGTACCAAATAAAGTGGCCAGTAAATGTAGTTCTACCTTTGCTAGATGTCATAAAGACCACTAATCAAATCGTTCATCGATAATTAGTGATACTTTCTCATAAAGCATCATTCATACAATTAGAAATGCAGGGTTCAACAATTCATTCATCAACACAAATCCATTAAGTCAACAAAACTATTTTAAGTAAATTGAACATAAAACAATTACCTTTCCACCTAAAAAAAATCTCTAGAATGGTGTTGCTTCAGCACATTTAAATAAGTAGTTTGAACAAGCAACAAAAATAGTTAAGTGTACATTTATTCATTCAGTAGATATTTTTATCCTAAGCGACTTACAAATGTGAAAAAAAAGCACTTTAAAATCACCAGAAAGCAGCAATAAGGGGTTTAGATGCCATAACAAGTCTAATACTGAGTTCAGACAGCATGATTTTAGCCCTAACTTAGACTAACCGTTAGACTTTGAGAAATCGCAGACAAATGCCAGAAATCACAGGCAAATCAGTGCTCATTTACATGAGTAACAATCACACAGTGTGAACTATCAAAAACATGATTTAAGAGAATCGCAGATGTGTCGCAGACACCCACGAGATAGTTAACATGCTAAATATCTGGACCTGTCTGTGATTGAAAATCATGCAGTGTGAAAAGTGTTCTGATTGAAAGTAACATCACTGTTTACCTACAGCCAATGAGAGAGCAGCATCCACTAGTCTGAGTATCTGCAGGCCAGCAGAAAAACTAGTGGTAATTTGGCAGGAGCACTCATGTCTGTTTGATGTGTCATTTGAGCAATACCACAACAGGGTCAAAAAAGATAGAATATGCCAATTGCCTTCAAAAGTCAGGTAAGCAAAATAAGTAAATTTTCAACCCCACTAAAGGCTTCTTTCTCATCATGTAGTTAATAACAAAATATATACTACATTAATTGCTCTGTTTCCATGTCACTTCTCGCGTGTGTTTGGTTGTGGGATGTAGTTTGTGGACTGAGACAAAGTTATCGCAGATTCTTCCTATTGTAAAGATATCCAGTGTGAACCACCCTGTTGCCGATCCATACTGCAGTGTAAACACAGCACTGACAGAACGCTACCCCAGATAATCATGCAGTGTGAAAACTTGACATGACTATTTTGAAAATCATGATGTCTAAACTAGGCATAAGTTAGTTTAGCAACCCTTTTGTATTTTTATAATTGAAAGTATCAGGTACATATCAGCCAGATCTCAAATAACTACTTTGCATACTGCGAGTTAAGGTGCTAATTCTTACAAACTCATATGGTTTAATTTGTTCAAAATGTAACATTTTTAAAAGGAGGCCCAAACCACTCCCTTAAACCCAACTGTCATTGCAAAATATACACACAAAAAAAAGTTACTTTTGCCACTAGCTCGAATAATTGTAAAAGATTTCCTCCAGTGCAAAAGCTCTTTGGAACCAAAATCATTTCTAGTAAGAATTTTGCAAGCACACCAAAAAGCATGTCTTTTAGCCAATAGTTCTAGGAACTATGAAAATGTTTATCTTGTGCAAAAACCTCTATTGTTGCTAGATAAAATAACATTTTTCAGTAGAATTTACTTTGAATGTAAAAATGTATTTATTATTTATTTATTATTTATTTATAAATTAAGATGATGTTTGTCTTCCATCTAAACACAAGCCCTGTTTTGGGGTCCATAAACCTGCCAATCTTTAATAAATAAATACAGTAGACATATGTAATTAACAACAATATTTTTGACATCTGTAGTACAAAGAAGCATTTTATGCTATATTAATGTCTGATCAACTGCTAACTGAAAAGGCTTGCAACATACCAGCGTCAGATAAAGAGACATTTACAGTGTAATTTTCCTGCCAGAGCATTATCATACATCTACAGCAGCAGTTTGTTTTCAGAAGAGAATGTTCCAGAGACGGAGCGGAAATATTGCTGGACCATCAGTGCTGCGTCGGCATAAGAGCTCACATTTCTGCCTTATAGCTTCTACAGAGCATTAATACTTCACAAAGGGAAAAGACACCAGCAGAGTGTTTGTATATATTTAGGTAAAAACTTTTTGATAATGATATTCAAATGCATCATAAAACAAGATTTGTTTTGGCTGCTGTTTTTTCAAACATTCCTGACTAACCAACTTGACAGTGAACCACAGAACTTGATGGGAAACAACGAACACAAAGACCAATTAGTCAGGATAAACACGTCTGGCAAGTTGTTAAAACTCATACCTGACATTACTTTTTGTTTGTGAAAATGCTCATGTACACAAGGCAGCTAAATTTAGTTGTCTTATCTTTTGGGCCAAGCTTCTATCTGATATTAACTGATCACAAATGGCCAGAAAAAAACCCAACCTACCTGGCATTAACATGTTTTCAAATGAGACTCCACTCTTTCAGATTTTCTTTAAGATCTGCCTTATTTTGTTACCCTCTACATTGTGTTTACATGACCGATATACTCAATGTGACGGCTATTAACAAATAAACGCACAAACTCGTGTTAAAAGGCTTATTTTAAACGCAAGAGAGTAAAAAGGATGTGTATGTCAACTATGGTTTTGATTATAACCAGTGTTTTTTGGTCAAATGCAATGAAGTATGAATACCTTAATAGTGCACCAAACTCATCAGTTGGAGGACGGAAGTGTGATGGAAATTTTTAATATTGACGATCATATACTGATGTTATATATTGATTTAGGTTTTGCAAAAGTAAAGATTAAATGCATTAGAATCATTGGGCTATCACAGCCATGTGTAACCTACTGGTTGTTTAAGAGTTAAAGAGCTGTAGAGAAATTCATATCTAAAACATTGTTTGTAAAAATGTCTGTGAGCCCATGGTTTGGGATCCTTTTGCTCACAATGGCTGTCTGTGTGTAAACTGATCATTCTCTGGAGAATTAAAGCAATTAAAAGAAAAACTGTCTGACTTTAATAAATGTAAGTCTTCACATTAAAATGTATTCCTTAAGAACAGGAAGAAAAAAAGACGTGTGTGCCATGATAACAGATGTAATGTTGATGTACAACTGCTGACTGAATGCTAACGATTGATAGAGCAGGACTAAATCATCTATGACACCTTTTTCAAAAAAAACCCAATTTTCCAGGCAAAGAAAAGAGGTAAATGTGATTAATGATATCTTTTCCAAACTTTACAATACTTTGCATTCGCCCAATTAAGACTCACTTATATTATTGGTAGTTCCTATTTTGCTGAGTGGATTGGATGCCAATTTGAAATAGGCTGATTTATTTCCCCAAAATGGCATTCTAACAACTAAAATTGCTCCCAATTCTTGTGGTGCAAACATGCAAAAAGTGGTGAATTTTGTCACTATTTGAAGAAGATTTCCTCATTTGTTAAATCCCCTTCTTTAAAATCATTCTAAGTTACAATGAGGTAGTACACCAAAAAGCATGTCCTTCAGGCAGTAGTTCTAAGAACTATGACAAAGTTGCTCTTGTGCAAAGATCTATTGCTGCCAGATCTGGTTTAAAAAAAGCAAAAAACAACAACAACAAAAACAATGACATTGTGACAAGCAAGACAAAAATATTAGTTATACTAAGAATTGTAAGTGTTCAACTTGTTGTCATTGTAAGTGTTCCTTTGGTGCAAAAAGCTCTTATAAATAAAATTATTCCTAGTTGCAATTTTGCAAACACACCAAAAGGCATGTCCTTCAGCCAATAATTCTAGGAACTATGAAATGTTTTCTTGTGCAAAAACCTCTATGGCTGCCAGATCTAGTTTAAAAACAGCAAATAAAAACAATAAACTCTTGGGATGCAAACAAGACAAAAAGAAGATTGCTTTGCCGTTCTATCTGAACTATGAAAGAGTTCCTCTGGTGCAAAAACCTTTTATGAATAAAAACATTCCTAGTAAAAATTGTGAGAACACCAAAATGTATGTCCTTTAGCCAATAAGTAGGAACTATGAAAAAGTTTCTCTTATGCAAAAAACTGTTGTTGCCACATCTACTTTAAAAACAGCAAATAAAAAACAAATCGGCATTCTTAAATTTAAAAGTGTTGCTAATTTCGACAGTGCAAACAAGACAAAAAGCAGATAATTTTGCCATTAATTCTAAGAACTGTAAAAGAGTTCCTCTGGTGCAAAAGCTCCTTATAAACAAAATCATTCCTAGTTACAATTTTGTAAGCGCAACAAAATGCAAGTTCTTCAGCCAATAGTTCTAGGAACTATGTAAAATTTCTTCTTGGGAAAAAAGACTATTGTTTCTTGTTTAAAAACAGCAAATAACAAAAAAAAATGGCATTCCCATATCTAAAAATGTTCCAAAGACAAAAAGCAGATAGTTTTGACATAAACTCTAAAAATGGTGAAAGAGTTCCTCTGGTGCAAAGGCACTTTATAACTAAAACTAGGGCGGCACAATATATCATTACAGCATCGATAATGCAATGTGCGAATCAACATTAGTCACATCGCAGGATTTGCAGTGTCGAGTCTTCATTATAGTAGACCAGAAGCCACAATTCAGAACACATGAGATTTGTGGAGTCACTGCAGAGTTTAACAATAGAGTGGAAGCTTATTGTTTGCCTTTGTGGTCTATGACCATACGAGGATTTTAAAAAACATTTAAATCACAAGAAATTGTACACTTAGCAACTTAAAGTATTATTTGCAGTATTATTTGACATTTTGTTATTCAATTACTGTACCTTAATACAGTTTTCACTTCTCAGAAAACCATAAAACATTGTATATTTCATTTGTATCTTTTGCTCTATTTGTGTTTATGTATGCTTGTAGTTTGTTTATTATATTTTATCAAGATGCAATGGCATACTGAATCCTCCCCAATCAATCTAAAATGATAAATTCTTTCCAAATAGAGAAATTCAAGTTATCTACCAAAATTATATTCATATTGCAGAAAAACTAAATAATCACAATGTTAGATTTGTCCAATTTCAATTGCACTAATACCATTCCTAGTTGTATAAACACAACAAAAAGCCTGTCAATTAGCCAACAGTTCTAGTAGGAAGTATGAAAATGTCCTCTTGTGCAAAAACCCCTATTAGTGCTGCCAACAACTTAAAAAAAGGGCTATAAAGTATATCCAAACCAGCACCCTGTAACTTTATTAACTCCATAAACTAGACTACTTATGACCAAGTCAGTTTTGCAATTTATTAAAAATGCACATGGCAACACTTCAAGAGTGAAGCAACCTTCCAAAAATAAACAAAGCGCCTCTGTTAGGTAATGACTTGGACCATAAAAAAAGTTCCTGTAACATTACTTTGGTCAAAAACAGTGGAGATTCCAGAACAATGTTGTGGTAAGCATAAAATCAGTCATCATAATACTGAAGGTAAAAGAAATGCCACAGAAGTATTTACTTGAGTATTTAAGTGCAGTTGTCACTCAACAAGGATAAAAGTGTTACTGAATAAAAATGTCTAATTTACATTATGCGTCAACAATACCATTCAGAGTTACATTAAAAAAATAAGGATCACATTTAGAACTCTCTGCGATTAAAGTTTAGCTGGAAGTCAATCATTTATTCTTATTTACGGCCACATAAAAACACATTCGAGACAAGACCCAACACTGAGCACGCTATTATACTGGCATTAAAAAAGGTCTAAGCAATCTTTAAGAACAATGTGATGCCCATTTATTGTCTTGTGACTTTCATAAAACACTGCTGGATAATTCTTATCACAAATGCAAGCACATGTACGGGCTAAAAAGAGGTCAGTGTGGTTTGTTACAGTAATACTACCCTCTCCAGCTGACAACTTAAATTTTTGATAAGCCTGAGCAGACATACTATACATCAGGCAGAGCAAGCTTACAAATGATCATAAAAAGGAAAAGTTTGGTTTAAAACATGCCCACAATGGTTCGGATATTACCAGGCCTGAAGTGACAGCACTACTGGTATAAATATCCCATAAAAAAAACTAAGTCAAGCAGAATTTCTAAATGTTTCCCCTGTGACATTCCATAAAAAAGGACATCGTGAGAGAGAAAGTCTGTTAATAAGTACACTGCGATCACACACTCGGGTATAAGATTAAACAAAGAGTCGGGAAGTGACGGTCTTACTGTGTAATGGTGTTTTGTACGCTCTTCTCGTTTAGGGTCATTCCAGGGGGTGGATCATTCTGCAAGGCTAGCAGCTCCTTCTGTAACCTTTTCTGTTGGGAAATGGAGAGAGAGACTATTGAACATAGAAAAAGGGAAATAAAAGGGAGAAAAAAATAGGGGAAAAAATACTGAATTCTATTGAGACTAAATTTATGCTGTAGGGCAGAAAATATCTTTGATTAAAGTGATAGATTCTTATTATTAACAATTAAATAATATTATTATTGAAAGTATTATACATTCTGCAAAGGAATACTTCTAGTAAACATACAGATATATAGTTTGTGTCTGCATTATATATATATATATATATATATATATATATATATATATATATATATATATATATATATATATATATATATATATAAGGATAAAAAAATAAATAAAATCATGTAGAAACAATTTTCTGCCAGGTCTACCAAAACAAAATAAAAAAATCACCAAGTAAAATGAATGAATAAATAGAACGTGGTTATTATACTATATTTCAAATATACATATTATCTATAAATTTTAATTGAGAGCTGTTATCAGCAAACATTGCTATATTTTTATTTAATCCAAAACTTAAAACAGCGAGTATGATTAACGTTACAAATCAAGTTAAAAGAAAACAACTTCAGATATCCTGTACTATCATAAATAACCTTGCAAGACCGCTTAAAATAATCAGACATTCTAATATCATGATATCAAGCAATTCACAAACTAAATTAACGATACTTCTATTAATTAAAACCACGTTAATTCTCCCATTAGGTCGCCTGCGTTTGCGGAAAAGCAGTAGTTTATGTGCGTCCTGTTCGCCAGCTGTTGCTTTTAAAGCACCGATAATTCTCACCCTGACAGATCAGGAGCAGCGAGGAGGACAAGTTATGAATTCAGAACTGATAAAGCAATATTCGACCCCCTTTAACGGCGTATCCGACAAACAGCATTTACATGAGCAGAAACGACAGACCCAACACCTGATCAAGGAGTGATTGATAGATTAAACAGAACTGGATGTCAGCTGTGATCTTACCTGCATCGACGCCATGATGGATCCCCCTGCATCAGTGGCGCACAGTAACGCAGGGCGACTGACGTCAGCGTCACGTGACACACGAGCTCTTTTGTGCTCTCATAATAATACACAAATTTATCCCCAGTCCACTTGTATTACTGTTCATTAATCGCAGTTATACTATGTTATACATTTCAGTTAATTTATTACCACAGAATAAAATAAGATATACATTTTGTGTTTTAATAAAAAAGTCATTAAATATGAATCCAAAGAATATTGATAAACTCTGGGAGTCCTGGAAGAACACTTTCTCTGCCAATCCAGATGACTTTGTTAATAAGTTATTTGAGTCACTGCAGTGATGTGTGGATGTAGTCCTGCAAGCTCATGGGAGTCTTTCAAAATATTAATTATTTTTCCACTGCACCATGACTTTATATTCTATACTGTACATTATTTATGTTAAGTGACCAGACTTTGGTCTAAGCAAAGTCAGACCTTACTGTCCTAAATAAATAATTACAAATCAAGACATGATCATATTTTATTTTGGTAAAATAAGTGTTATCTAGAGACCTTTACCTTTCATAAGCAACTTCTAATACCAAATGATTAACTAGAAGTCAAGTTATTATTTGTTGTTCCTAAAACTTGGATAGGTGACAAGACATTTGTCAGGTAGTGTATCTATTGCATTATTTTGTCTTAAAAAAGCTATTTGAGTTTGCAATGACTTTCATCACAAATAGCTTGTTATTTTCAACTTTTAAAAAAATATTATGATAAATACAATAATTGAATATCTTTTTTAAAATTATTTTCATCAATGATAAAATTAAAGTGAGCTTTTCTTTTCTAAGTACAACTAAGACTTACACTTGGTTCTTGGAAAACAGTTCAAATGTTCATTATTTTTGCTGTAAACAAAGTAACTGAAAACACAAAGATGTATGTGTGACAGTTATATATTTGGTTTATTCATATTTCTTTAAGACTTTCACAATTGTCCTAGTAGCATGTGTGCTATCAAATACAAAACGGTTGTTAAAACAACATACACAACATATATTATCTAGTCATTTCAAAGCACACAATACCAAATAAACAAACAAATAAAACAGAATCAAAAGAGCAAAACAGTTATAAATACACACTCAATACAAAATCATAGGAACATAAGGTGAACAGATTAAATTGAAGTCACAGTCAAATAACACACACTCCATTCCTGTTTAGCAGTCTAGGAAGTTTGCAGCCATGAGCAGTTCCAGGGCAATCTCAGGAGCAATGGGGAATTCTGGGATTTCTGTTGAGCTGTTGGTGTAGCGCACTTTATAGGTAAAATACATGCAAACTTTGGAGAGGACATGAGACGGGATCTCTCGGAAGTTCACCTCATTGGTTTCATTTTCAGCAAACTGACCTTGAAGAAAAACAAAATGTTAGAGTTTCTTTCTTGGATGGAAGAACTTGAACATAAACAAATCTCGCTCTGCCCAATATAGCCAATCACATTTTCCAGCAAAGCCATTTGTGTTGAAACCGGGAATGTTCTTCAAACATGGATTACTGGTTTTGATTGTTGGTGATTTGACATGATCGAGGATTTCTTGTTTTTTCAAAACTCATTCAGAGGCTTGTGCACAAAGCTGCTTTGAGTTTTTTTTACGCAGGTAAGTTCATGATTAATGTTTACTAGCAAACTCTGAGGGCTCTACCATACACCTGATGCAATAAGGAGCAAGATGTGTTTGCCGTGACTAATTTCCAATCAGTGCAACAAATTTTTTTTTACGGTTTGCACCACGTTGCTTAAATAGCATTCATTTGCACCACTTTGTAGACTTGTGTGTTCCGGTCTAAAAAGGAGGCATGTTAAAGCGCATTGTTGACGCGTTGCTGTTTTGAATAACTGAAATAGACTACACCATTAACCAACTAAAAGCTGGTCTAAAGTCCTTACAGTACTTACACACTGCATGATCTTTACATATAAAAAATATGAAAATGTTTTTTATGAAAATATGAAAATTATCATTTTTCTACATAAATGTAAAAAATATTTCTTCTAACTTCTATTTTCTTTATCTCAGGGGGCTTTTTCATCTTATTCATGATTATTAGCATTTTATAATGTTATCATTATTACCAGTATTATTTATTATATGCATATTAATATTTGTTTTGAGTTCAGATTTGTCCACTTGTCAGGTTTTAAAGACGTATGCATCACCATATGGGGCATAAGAATAGGACGTGCGTTTGGACATAACTGTGTTTTTTTAGCACACTTCGTTAATATTGATCATTTATTCATTTGCTGGAATTTAGAACTGAGTTTACAAATACTTTTGAAACAACTCTTTGTCCTTAACAAACTAAACTAAACATGTAGGCTAATGAATGTCTTCAGTGGAGTGTGCTTCCTTAAAGTAGTAAAGAGTAGTAATGAGAAGTAAAGAGTAAAAGTAAAAAGAAAGCAAAGAGGCCGAATGGAGCGTTCTCGCACTACATATGGCCTGTTTAACTGTTTTCTCGCTAGTGAAGCATTCAGTTTTCAACTTACAAAGTCCGCCATGTGAATAGCAAATGCACCATGGCACGACGCAACTAATTATTAAAGGGAATGGGAGACTCTGATTGGTTTAATACACGTTATGCTCAAAACCCATAACTCATCAAGAGAATAAGCACAACCCTGTTAGACCATGCACCATTGCGCAAACTGTATTTTTCCATCCTTAAAATAGCATAAGTGATTTCAGATACACCCTTAATGTTTTTGCTCCATTCGATTTAGACTTTGCGCATAGATCATTAAAAATAGAGCCCTTTGTTTTGTCTCAGTATGGTGGGTTGTTTATGACCTAATTTTGTCGCCCTGGTAGCTTAACCTCCAGAGCAGTTTTTACTCTGGTTTAGAGTTTGTGAACCTCAACTGGACCAATCAGTTGTAAGTAAAGTGACTCATGCATAAATGGAACAAAGCCACTTCCTGTCCCAGTAAAAAAAAAAAAAAAAATTATTGACCAAATTAAAACCATTTATACTACAATAAATGTTGTACAATATATGGTATATTATATACAACAATTTAAATTCTATTAATATTATATTATATTATATTATATTATATTATATTATACAAATGATAATTATTTAGACTATCAAATATTCAAATAGCTTTAATAAAGAATGGCTCATTACATTTAAATTATTATACATTAAATTATTTTAATTTAAATTAAAATGTATATATAAACATTCACATATACACTTTTCAAATTTATCAGCCCTCCGATGAATTATATTCTTTTAAATATATTTCCCAAGAGCGGTATAAAATGAGAGTTTTTTTTTTCCCCAACACATTTTAAAAATAATAGTTTTAAAAGAAGAAATCACTTTCTTCAGAAAAAAAAAAATCTATATGAAATAATGTGAAAATGTCCTGACCTGTTAAACAGCACCTAATATTTCCATATTTAATATGAAAAAGAACACAAATTTAGCACATGGACTAATCATTGTGACATTAATTGTATGTTTACTTTAATATATAAAGCTTTTAAAATCTCTTTTGAGCTGTTGGTGAAACTCTATTATTCAAATCAGTTGATTGACTTGAATTAAGATAATAATATTTGCTTTAATATGTCTGCTCAAACAACAACAATGTTTATTTCTGCCCTGTGAATGCATTTACAATCATTATATTTCTAATAATCATGCATCTGTTAATCTTCAGCAGAGAACTGAATCAAACTGTTGCTCTCATCTGACACATTCAGGGGCACATGCTCCAGAGTTAATCACAAACTCTGGGTTAAACCCCGAGTTAACAGAGAAAGTTTTTTACAAGCATTGTAATTTGAAACCACTTAACCGGATCTTAACCAGTTTTAATTTGTTTGGCTTCATCAACTCAATACTTACTTTGCAAGTAACTTATTCAAGTTGTATTGTGCCACAGGCCTCTAGGATGTAATGTATTTTGTATTTATTGCCATGTATTTATTTACAAAGGCTATTTTCATGGCAAGAACATTTCCATAATAAATAAACAATTAAGAACAACAAACAAATGAATACACAAGTTAAATAAGATTTTTAGTATTAATTAAAGATAAGAATTCTAAAATCTTTTCTGGTGTCACTTTGCTAAAAATGTCCTTAAGAGTGTTCATTTCACAAAAAAGTCTTCTGGAATCATTAAAATCAGGAGAGTCCAGTAAAATGTGTTTTACAGTAAGGGGAGTAGTGCAGAACAGATCATTTATCAAAAATGAAAAGATTCAGCATCTGTCAAATCATCTCAGATATTTTAGGTGAGGTAGAAAGAATGAACTCCTGAACTGAAACCATGAACAGTAAATGAACAAAAACAAAATCAGAATTCTGTGGAACTGAATGTGCCTTCTGAACTAAACCTGCTTCACACTGATGAAACTGCCTGTTTTCAGCATAAAACTGCATTGATACAGTATTTGCAATTTATGAAGCGCTATGCAAATAAACATACCTGGACTTGCTTGATAACAGTGAGATTTTAAAGCATAACTGATACTCACCAGGTCCACTCAACATAGCCTTGATGGTGCCAGAGGTTAAAGCATGCTCTCTTTTCACAATAAATTCGTGGCCATCTGAGGAGATCAGCTTCACATACATGGCATCTGGCCCCTCACAACCACCATAATTCCTCTCTTCAACATCTGCTGGAAAATGGTATTTGAACACTTTACCCTCAAAATGCATTTGGGTTTTCAAATAAACTGTATTGTTTTTCTTAATACACATTACTATTTTAAGACACATCTTTTTTTTTAAACGTTAGACATTTTGTTATGACTCTATTAGAACCAATGTTAAGAAAACCACATGTATTTAAATTTTTTATTGAAATATGAATGATGCTATATTTAAATGTTGAAAAAACCTGAAAAAATACACTTTTGTGTGTGTGTGTTCCCTTCAGGCATGGGCCAGTATAAGATTCTGACGGTATGTTGACCTTGGATAAAAATATCATGGTTTCAAGGTTTTAGGGTATTGGGATTACTGCTTTAAAATATATTATTTTTAAATGTCAGTGTAAAAAAACAAAACCCTTTTTCCACTTTGAACACAATATATTTTATTTTAAAAAACATTTAAAGTATTTTGGAGCACTAAACATGTCAGGCTAAATAATTCGAATTCGAGTCATTGACCTCTGCTGCCTTCATTAGCTTCAAAATCACAGACTTCATTGCAATTTAAAATGGCATTTTGGATATTTTTTTTCTGCCGGAAATACTGTTGTCATGAAAAAGAAGAAAAAAAGCATAAATAAAATTACATGTACTGTAGGAACGGTAGAGCAGAACATGTTGGCGGTTTTAAAACCTTGACTTTTACAAACCGCGGTAGACCTTGAAAACGGTTATTGTTCCATGTCTAGTGCCTTTTTCATCTTCAAGTGAACATTTTAATGAATAAACACATTTTAATGAATAAAGATGGTGCAATGATAAAATAAGTGTAATACCATGGTAAAACCATGACCGCATATAAAGATTTTGGTATAGTTATATATGACATATGGTTTTAGTTGAAAAACATTAAGTTTTGCCTTTATTTGTAAACCAAAAGCGTGTTAGTGTGGAGCGTGAAGTTGGTGCAGGTATGCACAAATCATATGAGATCAGTGATTAATTCTGAGCCGATGAAAACAATGGCTTATTTGCAATCAACAAACTAAAATATCCCAAAGAAATGAGGGATAAAATGAATACAAACCCATTGTTTCTCAGCCACTGTATTATTACACCTGCAAAAAAAAAACAGAATAAAGCATTAGGATATTTTTTGATGGTGTATTGCACAAGAAAACATATAAATCATGTTGAGTCAGCAAATGAGAAGGGCAGAAAGGTTGCGTTGAAAAAAAAAACTAAAACTCTGAGAAAGTAAGGAGACACACTTACTCGAGCAGCTAACTGGTAACGTTAAATCATTACTAAAACACGATGTCTTCCTAAAAACCGGATCGTTGCTGTGTTTAGACTAATCTGCACTTAGTCCTTTCATATCTGTTACTTAAAACCCGTGTCATAAAAGCAGACTGTCGCTGTAATAGAAAACAAATCTTATACAATCTTGAATCAACTAGCATATCTCGCTAAGTATAATTATTTATTTTCGTAATGTGTCTTTTAATCATATATCCACATATATTATGAGGATAACGTATGTAAAACAGTCGCACTTACCACGAATTTAAAACAACAAAACAACTTTCGATACACAGACAGGCACTGGATATAACTGATTATTTCCGGTTCAAAAATGTGTCTTATAAATAAAAGTCCTCTTTTTACTGATGTATATAATACATTTAAAATTACAAACACGAATGTTTAATTTCTCTGATCATTAAAAATGTATTAAGAATATTTCCTGAAGCTATATGGCTGGCTACACGATAACGTTATAACAATTAATTATTATTATTATGTTTTGCTTGTTTTACAACAAACACATGCCATCAAATATTTTCTTAAAATCATAAATGCATATGCCTTTTAGAAAAGTGAACGATCAACTAACATATCTAAATAAATATATAGGTCTAAAAAATCATTTAATCTCATAATTTAATAATGTTTTAGTAATGTAATTTAATCTCATAATGTTTACAATGTTGTATGCACTGTCTGCTTCCATCGTCATTCTATCATCAATGGGGCAAACAATTATAAAATAACTGTGTAACTGCAGTAATTTTGGAATTTTCTGTGTGTTTTGATGTTTATCATTTAATGTTTTGTCATTAATTGATTATCTTTAAACTAATTCTTAATTATCATTTTCTTTTACATGGTGTATTTAATTTAAGACAGGATATTTCTGAAATGCATTGTAGCTACTTTATGTTCAATGGGTAAAATGGGGTATATATATATTTTCTTTTTTATATGACAAAATCTTATTATTTTTACTCAACACTTTTTATACTGTCATTTCATCTGAATATAATTTGTCATAATATCAAAAATGTCATTTATTAATGTCTCTATGGTGATCACTGACACTGTATTATCTTGATCAATTTTAAAATTATCTTTTTAATTTTTAAAATTAGGTCATTATTAAAGTTATATTGTGATGATTTTTTACATTTCAGATGTCTATAAATGATTAAATTATCCACTTCTACAATTTCCAATAAAAATCTCTTTGTTTAACTGCAGAGTTCATTTTTTAAAATTAATGTTGTCAGAGAAGAGCACCAGGTCCCATAAAGCAATTTGAAAGTGTACATAAACAGAAAACATTGTTGCGACAACTATAAATTGTCAAATTTGTTTACAGTATTTTACAGGCTGGCAAATGAGCAAATAGGGCTATGAATGAATTGGCTTTAAGGGCAACTCCACCAAACCAATGAAATCAACTCAACTCAGTGCAACCAAAATGGATTAATTTCACTGATCTCTATACTATTGTATGAGTGATTTGGGGTTTGGGAATTGGGGCCTCAAGCATCAAACCACCTCACAGTCACAATACATGAAGAACACAGAAAACACTGTTTTATACACTGGAAGCTATCTATAAATATGTATATAAATGTAGCACATTTATCGAGCTATATCTAGATTGTAATGTAGGTTCTCTGAACTAAAATATATAGTTTTTAGCTGTTTCATCTAAACATCTGTAATAAATATTATCTGTAAAAAATGCATCCACATTTGGTTATTTGCATCCACATTTGTTTATATATATATATATATATATATATATATATATATATATATATATATATATATATATATATATATATATATATATATATATATATATTCTGACTGAATTCAATGGAAGAGAGCATGGTTATTACCTGAAAAATTCAGCATATCCAACAAAATAAGAGAGATACATTTTAAGATCTTGCATTATGTATATCCTACAAATTCCCAAATTGATAAATTAAATATATTGATATAACTAATTTGTGTACTTTCTGCAGTATACATGAAGAGACTTTATTTCACTTATTTTATAGTTGCACTGACGTTAAACATATTTGCATCAACATTATTTTTTTTATCGTCTTTAGTTAAATATGATTTAAATTTGTCTATAGAAGATATATTTCTGTATTTCTCGGGTAATGATCATGCTCTCGATCTTATTGTAAATTTTTTTGTGTTACACTGTAAATTTTTTATACTCAAAAATAAGTTCCTAAAAACAATAACTAAATTTAATACTTAAATTTAGTAATTTAATATATAATTTCCTAAAATATTGAATCTCTTAAGTTTATTAATAATAAGAAGAATAATGAATTTCTTAAAGCTTATGATAATCTTTTTTCTTAATGATTAAGGCTTTATATAAAAAAATTCTCTCTCTTTGTGTTTGTTCTGTGGGAAAGCGTCGGTGTGTCACGTGAGCAGGCGAGTCTCGAGACCGTAAACAACATGGCGCGTCACGAACCAGGAGAGTCTTAAAAACAACTCAGGGAAGCAGCGGCGCTAAGCTTATTGAACGTACAGGTATATAAACTTAGTTTTTGCAAACACTATTTTCTGTTTTTTTAACGAGGTCTGCAGGAACAAACCAACGGGTAAAAGAGCTGTCAAAGCGCTGTTACCATTTAACTGGTGAGTGCCTCTCTTTTGTAGGTCGCTTACAGTGCTAGCGTGAGCGCTAACTTCTAAAGAATGAGCTGTTTTAAGTGCTGTTTTGATGTAATACGTAGACAATCTTATATCTTGCTTTTTTAAACTACTGGTCTGTAAATATAAAACCGTTATATGAAATGTTCGCAATATGTCATTTGCAGTTTTAGCCTGTCAATTTAGCATGCTCACCTGTCAAGTTACATCACAGTCTATTGTCAACAATTACTGTCCTGATTTTTAATCGCTTATTAAATGTCATAATTCAATGAAGTCAATTAAACAATATGATGTTAAAAACTGACTTAGGCCTACCTTTCAATTGATAAACTACATCAATGTTAGTTTGGTGGTATTCATTTTGCATTAATCAAACATATGTTTTTGAACAGACAAATACATATTTAAGTGGAAAATAACACTGTTTGCAATATATCATTTATTTTATGTGACCCTGGACCACAAAACCGTCAAAACAGTGTCGATTTTGCAATCGTCTGAAGTGTCAGTCATCAGAATCATAATATTTAAGTTTCCATTAATGTTTACTTTGTTAGGATCCTCAGGATCAACTATTTGAAAATCTGAGAGTTAAATTAGAAGAAGATCACATTCAAAGTCTAAATTAATTGCTCATCAATGTATATTACTAATCAAAAATTCAGTTTTTATTAATTTACAATAGAAATTTATGAAATATCTTAATGTAACTTCATTCTTATGTAATATCTAAATTATTTCTGGGATGAAACGAAAATGGCTATTAGCAAATATATATATATATATATATATATATATATATATATATATATATATATATATATATATATATATAAGAAAGCTTCTCTAAAGTCCTGTTTTGTAAATGGTTGAACTTTTTTGGCACTCACTTAAGTGTACTGTGTACATATACACTACCATATCAAAGTTCACTTGGCAACATGTTTTTAATATTAATTTATTAATTAAAATAATTAAAAGTAAAATTACAGTATTTCAAATTAATTCCTGCTCTTTTGCAGTTTTAAAATGGCCTGACTAAAAACAATGTCACAGTTTCTCCGAATATATTAAGCAGCACAATTATTTTATCACCAAATGCTGCCCAGGACTGTTGCTGGAAACTACTGGTCTATTGTAATTGTTGAAAGACACAGATGATTGGAACTCTTACTATTTAAGCACATAATATCATTTACAGTTATTTAAAAGACAGTGAGATGACGCAGTGGCGCGGTAGGTAGTGCTGTTGTCTCACAGCAAGAAGGTCACTGGGTCGCTGGTTCGATCCTCGGCTCAGCTGGCGTTTTTGTGTGGAGTTTGCATGTTCTCCCTGCGTTTGCGTAGATTTCCTCCGGGTGCTCCGGTTTCCCGCCACAGTCCAAAGACATGAGGTACAGGTGAATTGGGTAAGCTAAATTGTCCGTAGTGTATGAGTGTGTGTGTGTGTGAATGTGTGTGTGGAAGTTTCCCAGTGATGGGTTGCGGCTGGAAGGGCATCCGCTGCGTAAAAATCTGCTGGATAAGTTGGTGGTTCATTCCGCTGTGGCGACCCCGGATTAATAAAGGGACTAAGCCGACAAGAAAATGAATTAATGAAGCTGAGGTTCGAACCAGCGACCTGCTTGCTGTGAGGCGACAGCACTACCTTCTGCGCCACTGCCTCGCCTTGTTAAGAAATATATAAAACAATTTATTTTTTTATTATTGTATTATTAAATTTATTAAATTATTTAAAATATATATTAGTGATAGGGCAAATAAAAATCTTTTCCTGGGCAATAAAAAAATTCCTAAGCTTTTGGCTCTTTATGAATTTAAAATTTAACTCATAACGGTCTTAAAAATGTCTTAAAAATCTTACATTTAACTTGGTGAAACTTGAAGAAACTCTTTTATAGAATATCTTGCTTTTTCATCTTGAGTGTAATTGCCTGTATTGCTGTGGAATAAATCAATGATTTGGCAGACAATCAGTCTATGGGCTCTCAGTCCAGTTCTGGGATGTCCGGTCGGGGCTCTGGCAACAACCCAGACCAGTCAGAACCAGAAGCCAACCAGAACGCCAATCAGACGGGTCGTACACAGGCTGAGAGACAGTCAGGATCTGAAGAGGACGTTGACTTAGCACAAGTTCTGGCGTACTTACTGCGAAGGTAAATCTATAACCTTCTGAACCTATGAGATAGTGGAGATACTGTAAAACATCCTGGAACATATTGTAAACCTGCTTTGCATTTCCTCCACATGGGTAATGCAAATTGTTTTACCTTTTTGTCTACTCTAGGGGCCAGGTACGTCTGGTCCATGGAAGTGGAGCAACAGGCCTACAGCTTGTGCAGTCATATTCAGACTCTGATGAGGACAGTGATGGGGCTTGGGATGGGAGGTTAGGTCATCGATATGACCCTCCAGGTAAATAATGAACTGTGTGCATGATTAATTTATGCTTTTTTACTTAGTTGACACCCCAAGTTACAGTGCAGTGTTTAGAAATTATTATGCATTATTTATTTTATTTTACTTTATTTTATTAACATGGTATGATAAAACACAGGGTGTAGTAATATGCAAACATTATGCTTAGATGCGTTTTTGGTACAGCCAGGAGAAAAAAATCATATCTTTTTAATTAT